TCGAAGGGATTTGGTAAAGATATGTATATTAGAGCAACTTCTAATAATTAAAACATGTGGTTTTCAAGCATTTAGAATTTTGAGATTATCTCAGTTTTTGCTGTCTATATTTCTTTTCTTATTATTGTGAGAATTCAATTAATGGGAACCAAGCACTCAAGTTCAGCACTTAGAAGCTGCAATAAACATCATGAGACTTTGCCTACTCTGCTGTTTTACTGATCCCATCGATAAAATTGCTCAACCTTTATGCACGATCAATTGACCCTCCCAGACATTATACTGAAAAAAGTTAAAGAGCTAGGACGAATTGGTCATCTTTTCGTGAACATTCAACCAAAAAACCGTCTGATTTTCCCGATTCGATTCGCCATTATTCGTTCGGTTTAACGTCCTTAGAAAAAAAAGTAGCTAATAGTCGTCGATTTTGCCATATTACGCGTCGGCTAGCGCAGAGAGAAAGTACTTTCACTGGGCGCAAACGAGATGTATAGTTGCATCAATCGGCCAACGACCTTGCATCCTTCGAAAAACCATTTAAATATGTAAATTAATTAACGGTCGTATTATGCAACGCGTCGTGCGTTTATGGCCCGGGTCGTAGCACCCAAAAGTTTAGACGTTTACACACACACACACATGTAGACAAATATGTGCGTAGTGGAGTAGAGAATGACCGAGTCGATAGCCTCAAACTACCTACTCGATTTATTTGTACAAACGATTTACCTAAACGTTCTTTATGTACTGGAAATGATTAATTGTATTGTAGTTATTTGTTGGAATAAATAATTGATAAAGTCAGGCTTTATTAGTTGATTCAAAGCCGGCTCATTATATTTGCATGTGAATGCTAAAGTAAATTATTAATTTATATACATAAGGCTAAAATAGTTTCTCGATTGTCATATAAATTGACATATGTGGTAATTCTATTTATATTTATGTCCAATTATTCCCTGACACATTATAGACTGCGTCATTCTATTAGTGTTGGAAAATTGGAAATTCCTGAGAAATTATAGACGGAGTCATTCTTGTGTTGGAAAATTGGAAATCGAAAATTCGAAATTATCGCCTTTACAAATCAAAAAAGGGTAACAACATTTAGGTGAATGCACAATGATAATTATTGTAATGAGTGGAATGAAGCCATTCTGTGCAGTTTGAGCACTCTGATATATTTCTAAAAAAATCATAATTTTACATAATAGTGTGAAATGTGTGCGAAATCTCCCACGAGCGTTTAAATGACCTTGAAAAATCGACAGACAATGACGTCATATAATACCAGCGATATACATACTCGGTTTGATTAGAACAGAGGATAACGCACAAACAAAAATACAACGGACGTCCAAGGTTAACCCCGAGCAAATATTTAAAAATGTTATTTATTAGATGCAAGGTCCCTTTGGCGAAAAAAATGGCAAAAAATTAGCAAATAAAATTTTCGTACGATTATGTGACTAATCGCACGGTTTAACAAAACGGAAAACCCAAGTCGATAAAGTATGCACCTAAATCACATCTAATTTAGGATCGATCACACATTCGAACTCTCCCATAATCCCCATAATCTTTTTGTTTCGCAAACAGATAATAATAGTTGAGCTTTATTTGCACGAGGAATCAGCTCACTCATCATGATTCAACCAAAACTGATCTAAAAAATGAACCTGAATCAATATAAAAACCACCAATCAAGAAACATTTTGTAATAATAGATATTGATAACAATGACTATTAAGTGTGCTGTTTAAATCGTATTTTTGTAATTTTAGCAAGTCAAAAAAAATTTAATCCATTTCAATGGTAGGTGAAGCAATGAAGGAGAAGTGAATCTGGATTACATTTGATACAGATCACTTATAACAAATAAAATGATTAAATTAGTGACCCAAACTTTTCGGAGCACAGTAATAATATTAAAATCTTATAACAAAAGCAGTAGATTAATATAATCATAAATAAAAAGAGATTATTTCAATTGTCGTAAGAATGTTAGTGTTTATTTGCTCTTAATTCTATCAGAAATCCAACCTTACGAGGCCTCCATTACGTTTATTTTTCCCGAACGAACGACATGTAAATAACGAAAAAAACCTCAGATTTTACGAACCGGAATAATCGAATACGCAGAGCGCCGCCCTTGCCACGCTTACAACGCTCCGGCCTATCAATGATCAATCCCAACATCGCAACCTGCACCGCGAAAAATTAAATAGAATAATCGAAGCGCTTTAACAAAACCTATATTTGTGACGGGCTCACACGAATTTAAACAACCTTAATTTGTCATCGGCCAATAAAAGCCTTAAATGACGATTATGCGGCAAACAATCAGCGGCCTTGACCTTGATTATTCTCGGTCTCCGTCACGTGTTCCCCCCGTTAATATGCGTTCGGTCGAATTTCGTGGATTCGTATCCACATATCCGATGGAGCGAACGCGAAGGTGAGCTTTGGTGAGCGCGACGCGATTTCCCGCTTCGACTTTTTTTTTTAAACGGTTTTCACAGCGCGCTAGCAAGCGCGTCACAATCTCGGGACAGGGGGTCCTGGACGTGGCAGCCATTGCAATTACGCTCTGCCTATATTCCACGATCAAATTCCACAGGATAAAACTAAAATTACTAAAGCTTTTAATTGCTTTCATCAATATCGTTGCTTTCATCTACTCCTGCATCCTATGAGTCCTGTTGACTCTACATTTTTAACTTTATGATCCACAGTGTAGAGACTCATCTTTATTCCATTTCGTTCTTTTACTACAGAATTTCTAATCAAATCATCTTAACCTGATTGGACTAGAACCTCATTACAATATTCTTGATTTGATTCCTCGCATCAAATGAATATTTTGTACGAATATCCTCGTAAGGATAGGAGAGGAAAACGAGATGATTTCAAGCAGGAATCAGCCAGTTGGACTAGCTTGATTGCTTCCGAATGAGCTACGCAAATCCACTAATGGAGGATTATGTAGGTGATGCCTTCAGTTAGCCCGTGATCCCCCGAGCAAACAAACAAACCCATCGCTTGTTTGTTATATTCTTCTCGAGAATTACACTTGGCGAAAATAGCAGCGTGTAAACAGAGCCGGTAAATCTTTCGCTTAAGCTGTTTGGGTTTTTAATGAAGTCGATACCGCTCTTCTGAGAAACCGTCATCTTATTAAATCACTTTGAATTTGTTTGCGACGCCTCGGCCAATGAAAACAATGTTGGTTTTTGTTCGGTGCGTTCGTTTCTAAACTGCTATTGTGTCTGAATTGGATTGAAAACCGTCGAAAAGCGGGTTCAAAATAACGCTCGGTGAATATTTGCGATGCGTTTTATCGCACAGTTGCAACATGATTTTTATTGGTGATGAAAAGCCGTTAACCGCTGATGTGGTTTTTGACTTTGGGCGTTTGTGTTAATGGGATACTTTTTGTTGTTGCTTTCGGAATGAAATATGTCTCTAAATTTATTTCCAGTGAAGTTTAAACAAATTTTTATTAAAATGAAATTGCATCAATTAGTCGTACATAAATCTATTTTTTTATGTAGAGACACAACAACAGATGTTTACAATTAAATGTAGCGTTGAATAATGGCCTCAAGGAACAGAACAAACTACCTTATGGTGGTCACATTGCAATTATTAATACCTGGGTATTCAACAGAGCAACTTCTGCTATTTACGTATTCAGAAATTGTTTGACCTAATTTCATCCTTTTTTTATTTTGCGCCTTACATAACGCTGCACACGCGGTGAAGTTTATTAACAAAAAGGGCAAGACTGAGGAGCACCTGCTTTTCGAAATTTAGCGAAAGCACGCGTTCAAATAATTGACAGGCAGATGCACGCATGGATTTACCCTAATTTTTCCACCTGCGAGCAGATGCAATTTGTATTTTCGGTTTCTCTTTTCCGTTATTAACATTTATACGTTCGTGGAAATAATTTATTGTTGTTTCAGTAGTCTCGCAATAAGTTTACCCCATGTCTACATAGCAGAGCTAATTTAGGGATTTTCATGGTTAGAGTAAGTAAATTCGCCGTTTTAGATTTATCAATATCAAGCTAATCCTCGCATTTGTTTTACCACTATCATTTTAATTGTTTAAATTATTAGCAAATTTCAATGGATTTAATTTTTATAGTAGATAAAAACAATATGGTAATTCAATTTTAATTAAATAAGCATGACGTGTGCGATTTTGTGATCTTGAACTTTTAATTATAAAACACTACATTGATAAAGGACAATTCGTATACTTCCACGTTAATGTAAAATCATCGTATTTTTAAAAACATGAAAATAATGTAAAATTATGTATGTGTAAGTACCTACACGCGTATGCTAGAATATTTTCCAAAATGCTCTTTTATAGATACTGCGTAGTCTTATTAGGATTGTCTTTGCATTTGTGTCTTCCTTGCCTTGTTCTGTATGAATTTTTGCAGTTACAAGATTTTTATTCAAACTTGTTTCATTTAGGTATTACCAGGAATCCATCATGAAGGCTCTCTGATGAAGGACAGTGTTTTATTAGGACAATGTCTTATAAACTATTATTTTCCTATTTGCCTTGTTCTTTATGAATTTACATTTACAAGATTGAACCAAACTTGTTTCATTTACGAGTAGGTATTATCAGGTATCCATCATGAAGGCGCTCTGATGAAGGAGTTAATAGGACACTGTCTTTGTTTTTTCCTCATTGCCTTGCTCTGTAGGATTTTCCAGAGTTACAAGATTTAACCAAACTTGTTTCATTTAGGAAATCTATTAGGAATCCATAATGAACTCCCTGATGAAAGAGTTATTAGGAAACTTGTGTTTATGTTTTTTTCCTCCCTGTCTAGCTCTGGTGGATTTTACAGTTACAAGATTTAACCAAACTTGTTTCAATTATCATTTGGTGTTCGCGAAGAAGACTCCCCCATGGATAAATCCATATCACCTTTAGAGGAGTATATCATGGTGTTTTTAATTTGCATTTATTCCTGCAGAGAATATTAAAACAATTCCCAGTCATACCCAAATTTGTTCTGACAAAGCCCTAAAAGTTAGAGCATCGACCATTTTGCTTTTCCTATTGTTCCAATAATTCCCTCCTCATTATCTTGTTTGTAATGCAATTCCTCCACAGCCACTTCTGTATTTTTCCAACTGGAATCGTGTGTTTTGCGAACAATAAACCGAGCGAGCGCCAACCATTGTACCTGCACATCAAACCCACTAGAATTTTGCATTCCATTGGAAAGTGGAAAATCACCGTCGAGTTAAAATCAGGCCGGGATAGATGGTCAATGTCAGAGAAGAGAAACATATCGACTCGCCGGGCAAGGTCACATTGTTGCGTCAGGACGAAGTGCGTCATTGGGAGGGCGGAGCATGAACGGGACCTTCGGAGAGGGCGTTCTACGGGGTAGCGCGATATTTCGCGGCAAAACCGGGAAATGGAGTGTTTCCAGCGACACCAGATATTACACGCAAAAGGTCGTTTAAATCTACACTGTAAAGTGTATATTAATAAGTAACTTACCCGTAGGCTCGGCTGGTTGAATCACTTCGACCTTAAAACAGGAATGGAATAGGATTCTTCATCGTATAAAAATCCAGCTTGCACCTGTAACAAATTTTACGAACGTGCCCAATTTGTATGTCACCAACGAAATAATAAATCTTCTACCAAAATGCAAATTTTATAGGTAGAAACTGGAATAGAAGGTAATGAATTCTCCATGCCTCCCATTCATGCCCGGGCCCGGCCTCCTGGCCTTAGAACCGTCGGAGCGACCGTTTATTGTAAACCGAGGGGTGAGTGGAGTAGGTCAAGGTTGGAGCTGGAGCACGAAGGGGATAACGTACAGGTCGATGAAGGTCAGCCGCTAGAGGGTACATTAGCAGACGGTGTTGCCGTTCCCTCGCTCCGAACTGCGTATTTGGTTGGAACGTGGCGGCGAACGGGGGATGAGATCTGTCGTGGCCCTGGTGCAAAAAAAAGGTTGGTGGAGATGGCCTTGGCGTGAACGAATCGGAATGGGTTTCGCATTCGGAATGAATTGTTAAGGCTATTTGGAGCTTTTATGGGACCTAAAAACTTTACTGGAAAAAATGGGATTAGATAGACTCGTACATTGTCGAATGTAATTATTTAATACTGTTTTTAATGAGAAAGTATAGTTTGAAGGTTTTCATTCTTTTAAATATCCTCTTTACACTGAACCTATTGGTCCTCTTTTTGTGATAAGAGGACTCTTCCTTACAATACCTAATATTGGTGTTAATAGTTTAAAGTATTTATTTCAACTAATAATAATCATTTAGCATAATAAGCATTACAGACTAAGAAATAACTGAGCATTAGGTACAAAGTAATGAGCATAAAGCTCCCTTGTAAGTGCTAAAACACCTCAATATGATAGAAGTACAGTTTATACAAAAGTACAGTGATATCACTCCAATAAATAGAGTACATGACAGAGCGAATCTACTATTGTTTCTACATACATTTTACATAGTGATTTGTCTCTATACTGACAATACTTATACATCCCTGTTATGGCCCCTGGATACACAAACAGACATCCATTGAAAAGGATTGAGGCCTTCATCGAGGGACTCGGCTTTATGGATGCGTAAGCAGCAGGATAGAACTTTCACTTGAGCTGTCTCGGACAAGGTTCACCTGCGAACTAGTAGCAGAAGTAAGTCTACCCTATAGATAAGCTATAGTAGTGGATTAGAGCAGTTAATTCTCAAAAAAAGGTCTTATATAGTTTAAGTACAACACAGAAACTTATTTGTTAAAACATTACGGAACAATAAATTTAACATTGCTTCTTTTCTATATTATTCTTATTTGTTTTGTGCTCTTATCATTCAAATTCAACAAGATTTTACATCTCCAAGAATTGCTAACTGAAAAAAAAAAGATTTATTAAATTCGGAATCATTATACCAAATTCGGATATCATTATAGCAAATTGAATTTATGTATCCTCTAACTTTAATAAGCATTTTTTTTAATAGTCTACATTGTACTTTGTCTTACATTGTAGTCTACATTGTAATTCCCAGATAAATTAGAAAAAGATATGTTAATACAGCTCGAAAGCCTTTTATTTAAGCTCTTTTCGATAGGTATCGATGCATCGATGTTGCATGCAATTCTCGTCTAAAAGTTTTAAATCCAATTAATATTTATTTAAGCATTACTATACAATTCTGCTTCGAATGTCAGTTTTCCATTACAGTGCTGCGCATTATCTTCCTTACGAAAAGAATACATTTTATGTTTAATAATGGATGAATGAATTCAACTGGGATAAACATTACGATCTAAAATTCAGAGTGATTAATATAAAATAGATTAGTCTTCTAGTTTTGCTTCTCAATTCCTATTTCATATCTTAAAGTCGTTAGAAATAAATTAAAATAATAAGAAAATACGGAATTTTTATATTGCAAATTGCAATGCTTCATAACCTAAAATGACAGTTGACTTTATTGACAAATGACATTTAACATTCTTCTTTTTTATTCATATTAAAATAGTATTCTAAAAAAACCTAACCCATTGGCTTCGTTTAATCAAAATCTAGTTAGATTATAATCTTTTACGTACCAAATAATATCCACTTGAATTCTGAGTGTAATTTTGCAACTTCTTACAGTGATTGTGATTAAAAATCGATTAGTATATCGATTCTTTCATTCGATACACTAAATCGATTCCTCACGCCTAAATTCTAGGAAATACTCTCATGTCAGGAAATTAATTATAATATTCTTCAATATTAAATCAGCTCGAATTGTACTAAATAATTATAAGTAGAATTAATTAAAAGTCGATCTGTAATATTAATACACGCAGATAATCGATATTGCGATTCTTCTGACGAAACCTACGTCACACAATCGAGGTTTAGTAACTTTTTTGATTTTTCTCCTCACCTTTCATTTTTCATTCATATTCATACAACAACCTGTTTACCTTCATTTGACTAGTGAAAATATGGAAAACGATGGTGAGTACTAGTAGTAAATAGTTACAACGTATTGTTTAGATTTTTTCCGAAAATTGGCTTAAAAAACACGCAAATCAATTAACATTGGCGATATAAATTATTTCAAATTTAATCCATTTAAATTGGTAACACTGACGGCGAATTGACAAGACGCCATGCTATCATTCAAGTTTGTAGTAGGCAAATAGAGCACGTGGAAAACTACGTCTGACAAAATTGCTATTTTTGTCAATCCTAATAAACCATTTCGCGAATTTTGTGTGAAAATCGATTTCGGTTACGTTTCAAGTGCAATTGCATCCATCAAAACCGATCAACACACCGTAAGTTTTGTATATTTCACGCGTACTTATGTTAGTATTTGTTTGCCAACATCAGCAATGTGGCCGGCTACTCTACCATGCTTTATAAAATAAAATTAGATAATAATTTATTTCGGTGGGAATTTCATCCGGATTGTTCGCTATTCCCGATTCTGCATTATTAAATTTAACCTTGGCGGCTTTTGCGTGATTTAGCAGCTAATTTAATTTACCATCTGGAAATGCTTATAAGGGGTGCAGTATGTCTACTTGTAAATTACTTTCATAATTCAGATTTAAAATGATCTTTCACTGTATGTGTTATTCAAAAGAATTATTTGCTCTTTTGCTTGTTAGTAATTAGATTTCGAAGCATTCGATAAGAGTATTAGTGGTAGTTTAATAACCGATGAAGGTATTCGAAAACATTGATGAGTGATTCATGTACTCTAGAATTTGTAAGTTGCTTTAAAAATAGATAATAGAGGTTTCTTCCTTGTACTGGGATGCATGGTGAGAGAATGGTTGAAATTTTGCACATTTTTTGTTTTTTTAGAAATTCTTAAAATTTTTCATTATTCTATGTTTTACTAATTAATAGCTTATTGTCAAATGGAATAATTAATTTAATAATCAATTTGGAAAATTTCCTCGAATGCAAACAATTACACAATTTGATTTACTTCATGAATTATTTAAAGCCTTTGAATTTCCACAAAATGTGGCGATCTCGCGTTTAAAGTTAGAAAGTTTTTAAGGAGAATAAAAAAGTTTTCATTTTAGCAGGATAAGAATAAGTTTCTGACCTCAAAACACTAAATTCGTGTAAACATTCGCGTTTATTTTTGTAGGGAATTTAATGTTTCACTTGTGAGGTTAAACGGAATTTATTTGACTATTATTTTACTATTAATTTTCACTAATGTCTACCCAGATAATTCGCTAAAATGGAAAAATTATGAAACTGCTTATTTAATTGTAAATACTACTTTGTGTTACATCATTTCCTAAGCAAATATTTCAAATAAATATAGATTGTTTTTGCCTCTGTTTTTGCTAATCATTCAAATTATACACATTGTAATAAATGGTTACATTTTTAATCATTTGATAAACAAAATAACAGTATCATAATCTTCCCTATTGAAAAACATTACAACAACTATAGTTATGTTATCATTATATCAGTATCATAAAAATTAGGGCACTTATATAAAAATTTAAATATTTTCTATATTCCATAGTGATCGATGTGAGGGGAATTATCATTTTTTTGTTGCCATTTTCGGATTTTATAAAAGGTTGTTATGCAACAATATAATTATAAAATAAATGTATGTAATCTGTTGTTTACCTGTTGAGGACAATTTATTATTTACATAAATATTTTTACACTTTCATTCGAGTTTGTTTGTGTAGAATTAACATGAGGAAGGGAATGTATTTTTAGTGACTTATGAGTTATTCATTTGTGTAATAAAATTAGATGAAAAATTAGTTGAATAATATTTTTAGGTTTATGGATTATAGAGAGGTTATAGATTGTAGAAGGTAAAGCACAAGGGCGAGTTGCAAAATCGGTTGTCAACTGAATGAATATCTTTGTAGTACATATACATAACCTTAAGTTGAATATACATATTTGTTTTTGTTTGTATTGCAGAAATAATCACACCATTTGATAACGAGAAAAACTTAAATTAAATCGTTTTTATTTTTATATATTTTTATGTCGAAATTTTAATTAAAAACAGCTGTAAAAATTCACCAATAAAAAATCAATTTCAAGCCTTTTTTGATGATTTAAATTAATATGTATTATCATAATTGCAACATCTAACTAATATTTGTATAAAAATTGAATTTTTCAGTGTTTTATTCATTTAAATTTTGTAATTACAGGCTCGGATTTACCAAAAAAATAAAATAAAAACCCGATTACCTTACTTCTATTAAATTCCTGTTAAATCCCAAAAATTTTAAATATGGTAAAATTACAAAGGAACATACTCACGTCAATACAACTTTATTGACACTAGCGTTATGTGAGAACCGGCCCTTAAATAGCCTTAAAAATCTGTCAAACAATAACGATGACATTCCAATCTGACTTATTGAAATTCGTCCTTTTCGCAGGGTCGCGCGGCCCATCACCGAAGTAATCGTGGATCGTTCAAGTTATGGCCCCTTACCATACTCGTCAGTTGCTCGCGTGGACATTGCCAACTGTAGCCGCTCTGCTCAGCTATTTGTGGTTCAAAAGAAAGAGAATTGGAGCTCAAAGTGACCCAGGAAAAGAGGATTCTCCCGACAATACGGCTGATATTACCACAGATAGCCCTTCGAAGGAGACTACCGTTGAAAGAACGGAAGTAATCGATTGCAAATCGTCGCCTTCGACGCCGAACAGGAGTTTCTCCAGATCGCTTTCGGGCGTCGAATCCACCCCTATCGATATCATCATACCGCCGGAGCTCAGGGCTTCGAAATCCTCGTCCAGGGTGGTCTCCGACGAAGATTTGGACATCGAAATTGAGAAGATTAAATCGATGAAGACCGGCGCGCTCTTCACCAGCCAACCGGATTCCCCTAAACTGGTCATCAAAGAAGCCAACGCTAACGTTACCGTTAGCGCTAACGCCGGCAAATCGTCCAAGAAGAGGGTCTTCAAAAAGGTCTCAGGCAAGATGGCTCAGAAAGACATAGCGATCGTCGAGGAGAAGCTGACCAATTTGAAGGTGAAAACTAAGGAGGCCGGCAAGAAGAAGGACTTTAGGAATAGCAAGAACGTTAATAAAGAAAACGAAGACGTCCATAGGCAGAACAGCGAAAGGGACTCGGCCAATCACAGTCCGTCCGACGTGATGCTGGCCAGTCCATCTTTGAGCAGCATTTCTGACAATCACAGCGAAGTAAGTTTGTTATAATTTGCCCCAAATGATCTACGGTATCGATTAGAAAACGCGATTTGGGTTTTGTGGGTCGTGTGACGAGGTGAGAGCGGTCAAAGAAAAGAGCGAAAGAATTCTATTGTAGAAAGTAAAAGTGATTTAGATTGATTTTGAACTGGTTGAATCAATTTTGAAATTTCTTTTTAATACCGATTAGAATCGGTTTTTTTATGCGTGGTGTTACGAGCGTGTATATAAAGCGAAGTATTAATATGAATATTTTAGAACGCACAGCTTGACATAAAAATTGCCATTTTTTTTTGCTTTTATCGGAAAATACATTTAAATGTTACATCAATGCTTCGCTCCCCACTTATAATACATTTTACGCCAAGCTGTAAAGATAAGAATATCGAATGATAGACCCTACAATAGTTTTGGTCGAATTATTGTCGCAAAAGCGAGTGCTTTTAGTGCGATTAATTTTCTACAAATGGCTAGAAAACGATCGTTTGATCGCGAAGATCAATGCCACGAACGATGGGCTATCAAAAGACAGGTTTGAGAATTCGACTTAACTAGTGTTGTTTTAATAGTTTTGAATATTTGTTGCTAACGACGCGGCATTTTGTGCTCGTTTTTCATAAGAATATGTGCTTTTTCCTTATCAACACGGTCGGGTCGTATGAAAATTTGGATATTAAATTGCACATTACTGCGGTAATTGCGAGTTAATTTTGTTCGTTTGTAATAGAGAGTTACTTGTTACTTCTGACTTGTTTAGAATCATCACATTTGTTGAATTTTTATAGGATAAATAGCTATTTTATCGCAGCGATTTCCAGAATAATCAATAAGAATAAGTGCCTTATTTACTTAAGAATCTATTTAATTAGCAGCCTGTTTAATGAGTGCTATTTTTAATAAAGAGTGTCTCATTTTGTAGACAATATAATAAGTCATTTGATAGACTTTCATTTTAATGAGCACCTTATACAGAGTGTTAATTAACGCAATGTACTAATTTTAATGGGTGGTTCTTGAGGTAATTTTTAGTCGAAAAGTTTATTTAAAGATATGTCCTCCGAAGCTTGGTTTTCGATATACCTACAGGGTTGTAATTTTATTTTGAAAATTTGAAATGCCATTTGCGATATTTTATTATTGAATTCTAGGATAACAAATTATGGTATTAATACGCATGTACAATATCTATGTGCATAAAATGTATTCTTATTATGAATTTAGGTAAGTAGATAGTTTTTGGTGTGATGTTTTAGATGTAACAACTAGAGTTTTTAATTATTTTCTTTAAAATGATAAGTTCTACGGCAAAAATGCAAGAAAGTTTTTTTGTTTGAAATGAAATGAAATAAAACTAAAAAAAATATTTTCTGTTTAAAAAATGCTTATTTATACCATCATATGTTATCCTAAAATTTAATGTAATTGGGCAAACGGTTTTTCAAATTTATAAAAAAAAACTAAATAAAAAAAAAACTTTACAACCCCTGTATATCGAAAACCGAGCTTCGGAGGACATACCTTTATATGAACTTTTCGACTCAAAATTATCCCAAGAATCACCCGTTAAAATAAGTACATTGTATTAATTAACACCCTGTAATATAATTAATGTCTTTTCTATGAAATATCACAGATTTGGCAAATCATTTAATGATCGATAGGCTGGATTTGCTATTAGGAAAGAAATATAGGGGTGCTAAATCTGGAGAGTAAACAAGCTGTTATTCTTATCTGATCATCATGGGATACCAGTAAAAGTGTAGATAGCTTTAATGTGTTTGAAAATACAAAAAATCGAGAGGGTGTAAAAGTTTTGTAACTATTATAACGTTGATTATGGATGTTTGGTTTGTAACTTGTATATGTTTTTAGGGTTCCAGCGATAGCGGTAAGGGCGGCAGCGACGTGGCCACGCCGCCCCCGTCCCGTGTACCGGGCCTCATAGTGTCTGCGAACACTCCCATACTCTACCAATTCGTGTTGCCCCAAACGCTGGTGGGCAAATTGATCGGCAAGCACGGCTGCTTCGTCACCCAAATAAAAAACAAAACCAACGCCATGATCGTGGTCAATTCCTATCCCAACAACAACAAATTGAAGGTGTGCTCGGTGGAGGGCACCAAAAGCGAAATCGACAACGCCCTGAAGATGATTCGCGACAAGTTTCCGACCAAGAGATATCCGGAAATCACTTTGGAACAGATCGAATTGGCGACGGAAATATCCACGGTTTCACTGATTCCCGATCATTTATACGTAAGCTAAATTATTAGTGAGCGTTAAACGGTGATTGTAAATGTTTTTTTTTTTTTTTAGTTGAAACTCATAGAAGGCATCAACAACGACACGGTGCTGAGCTGCATAGTGGCGCCCAATCACTTGTTCCTCCAACAGCCGACGCACCCGTCCTATCCCAGCCTGAACATACTCACGAATTGCATGAACTTGTGCTATTCGCAAACGGAATCGCCGTTGTTGCCGACGCCCATCACCGAGAACACGATATGCGCCGCTTATTCGGTGCACGCCTGGTACAGGGCGATGGTGCTGTCGTCGGACGTCGAAACGGACACGTCGTACGTGAAATTTTTGGATTACGGCGGTTTCGCTTACGTGGAAAACTCGAAACTTCGACAGATTAGAGGCGATTTTATGTTGTTGCCCTTCCAGGCGGCCGAATGTATATTAGCTAATATTCAATCTGTAAACGGTGAGTACCGAGTAGTTAACCCTCTTGTACGGGAAATGATTGGTTTTTTTGTGGTTTGCAGAGGACGGTTCCTGGCCGGAAGAGGCGTATAATTTAATAGCAGATGTTGCTAAAGGCTCAATTATGTACACTCAAGTAGCTGATTACACCGAAGATGGAGTTCCGCTAGTATTAATATATGTAGTTTTAGGACCTCAGGTAATTATTTCGTTCGCTTATACTAAGAGTATTAAATCTCTGCATAGATGCATTGAGTTATCAGAACCAACAGGTTAATAAATTTGACCTCTCAAGTCTATGTATGCATAGAAATTATTGCTCTATTTCCTATAAACTTATAACCAAGTGTAGAGCCAGCTCAAAGTCCTTTGAATCGTTCCTAATTCCTTTGTCCTTTGAATATTTTATTGTTATGTTATCTTATCTGATCACCTATACACGAGAGTCCTATTGGGGTTTTTTATTTATTACAAATATCCCTTCTAAGGATCAATTATTCTAGATAATTACTTCAAAATCCTATCTATGATTATTTTTAAACTAATTGATTTGTTGGTTTCTATAGAGAACTTGGAGTTTTTGTATTATGCAGATGTATTATCTTATCTGATCACTTAATTGTACTTGAGAGTCCTATTGTGGTTTTTATTTATTACAAATAGCTCTTGTAAGGGTTAATTACTCTAGATTATTACTTCAAGATCCTATGATAATTTAGAAACTACTCGATTTTTTTTGTTTCCATACAGAACTTGGAACTTACTTATACGAATTTATTGTGCAGATGTGTTATCTTATCTGATCACTTTTATTGGATACTCTAGTGTGATTTTGGTTCTTTTAAGGGGCTCCTTTTAATTTTTACTTAAAAATTCTATCCTATCCTATCCTATGATTATACAGGGGGTTTTTTAATAACATGCTTATACTGAAGGAGGTGTTTTTTGTACCCATTTTGAGAAAAAACTTCATATAAACATATGTCCTAAAACTAAAATTTATTATTACCTAATTTCCTTCACAGCGGTTAATGCATCGGTAGCGTACAAATAAAAGCATTTTATTTTTTTAGTCCAGTGCAGACGCCATTGTTGGAAATAAAAAAAATGTTTTTAGATCAAAAGAATGCTCTTTAAAATGCATAAACGCCGTACACCAAATGTCTTAAAAATATTTAAGACATAAGTGTTATGGAAATGAGAGTAAAAAATTGTTTTTTTTTTTCTTAAAACTATCTATAACACCCTATATCTGACAAATTAAGACGTTTAGGACATGGGTTCATATGAAGTTTTTTCTTAAAATGGGCCCAAGAATTACCCCCTTCAGTATTAGCATGTTAATAAAAAAACAGCCCTGCATACAAACTATTTTTATTTAAGATACTATTTTTGACGTAAAAATGACAGTTGAAACTTTCAAAATGACAGTTAGGCGCCATTTTGAATCTTTTTTCTTATGGAAAGAGGGGTCGAGTCACACCTCGTTTTAAAGGTAATTTCATTCTTCTTTCATTGAAAGTTTCAACTGTCATTTTTACTCCAATATAAACACCCCAAATTGCGCGACAAAAGCTCTTACCATTCAAAATTAAGGGGGGGCGACGGACTTTTGGTCCTCACTGTATGTTATCTTGCCTGATCGCTTGTACTGGATAGTCATGTGTAACCTTGGTTTAATACAAACAGCCCTTCTAAGGGGCGTCTTGTTAATTTTTTACATCAACATCCTATAATTGTATACAAACTAATTGATTTGTTGGATTCCTTGCAGAACGTGGTATATTTGAATCAGCATTTAGTAGATAACGGATTCGCCGAATGGGTCCCATTGGACGACGTCCAATCCAATCACAATCATCAGGAGATTATGGAAGGAGCCGCGGGGGGCGTTCAAGCATGATTCGTCCCTCACGACTTTCTCGTACTTTCGCCCGGCCCGCGGGTTCGTTTTTTAGTCACTTGATTACGCATTAATCAAGCACTTGTTGATTATTTTTGCTGGATATCATTTCGTTCCTTATTTATATTTATAATTGTAAAAAAATGAAAAATTAAATATTTAATGATTTTGTTGAACGTGCATATTTGTATCTACGCGCTTCTGTCACTTCTGGTGTGGTACGGCTTTTTTTTGGTTGAATTGAAGTGAATTTATTTATGTAGAGTTTTAGACGTAATTAGTTATGTTAGTGCTCGATCTTTTCATTCAAACTTAAATGGATTGTACGTAGTTCTGATTATTCTTAAAGCTGTCGAAGCTTTGATTGGCAGTTTTATGTTTGACGGTTAGCTTTCTATTACCTAATTATTCAAAAAAATATATAAAACATGAAAAAGGATCGAAGTGATACAATCAATTAGATATTGGATATTTAGCTTAAGTTATTTTTTGTTTTATTTTGATAATTCTGATCGTATTTCAATGAGGATTTATAACGTTAACTGAATGTTTTTTTTTTATTTTTTATGTATACATTAATTTTGGTATGTTAATTTGTAGCTCGCTTTTGTGCGGAAGCTGGAGAGGATAAAGCGTCGTAAAATAAAATAATACCGATCATGGTGAATTTAGTTACGATTTAATACGTTGGGACATTCATTTGCTTAAAAAATTGTTATCAAGATTCTCCAAACTTTTAAGGTTTTCGAACAGACTATGTAAAAATAATGCTTACTTCTAACGGGATAAAACTTGCTGAATTATTTGTATTGGGGATGATTTTGACTTGCTTTATGACTAAATAATCTTAGAGAGTAATTTTTAGGGTAGGGTAACTTAAATTGCTCGTTTAGTGGAATTAATTGTGTATGGAAACTGTGTTCTTTTTCGATTACATTAATTTATAAGAAGTAAAGTATTTATTTAAAATTTTTCGTTTTTTCAGAATCGACATTTTAGGATAATTGATAAGTTATTTAATGTACCTATGGGGATTTGGTGGAGCGAACTTGTAAATATTTTTTTTCATTATTCATTTTTATTTTTTGATTTGACCATTAAAATGCGCATTTTTTAATGTCGATAAATTCTTACTAATTTCGATGATAATTATTCTTGAAACATTATTCACAATTTCTAATCGATGTGTATATTATTAAATTTATGTATATAACGAGTTCTCCAATTGTATATTGATATTTACGAATTTGTTTAGGAACTGGAAATCATCAATATGCGAGTAAAGATAGCGAACTGGGCATTCTATACAAATTCTATCAAAAATTAAATATTTTTACTCCCAGCATCAGTAATTCTTCAATTTTTTTAACCGTTATCTAGTTTTTTCATGCAGTTTTTATTTGGTTTTCCAATCTAACTTCCACTTTTCCAGTAACTAGATTTTTTGTATTGACTCGAAAATTTCTAAAAAGTACCATCTTTCGATGTTTGAAAACAAAATTTCGGACGTTTGTCCCTTCGCAAGTTTGAATACAATGCCGATTTTGACGCAAAAACGTAACCGTTCAATATTGCTTATTTCCAGCTTTATCCGTAGCTTCTATAATTATATTTACGAAAGGTATATTAACTACTCTTAGTATAGTTAAGTAGTTGTTTTAGAACGTTGACATAGTTAGTATTTTGTACATAAGACATCAATGTAATGTTTTGGATTGACATAAACGTTAAAAACCAATGGAACTTCTTTGAATACAACCTTTTACCCCAATATTTAAATCTAAAATAAAATAATAAAATCTACCTACATATTGAGATACGCTCTGCTCTGCTTCACTGTACTTAGCTCTTCTGCTCTTTTCAACTCTTCTTTTCTAGCTCTGCTCTGCTCTGCTCTGCTCTGCTCTGCTCTGCTCTGCTCTGCTCTGCTCTGCTCTGCTCTGCTCTGCTCTGCTCTGCTCTGCTCTGCTCTGCTCTGCTCTGCTCTGCTCTGCTCTGCTCTGCTCTGCTCTGCTCTGCGCTTCTCTACTCCGCTCTATTCTACTCTTTTTTTCTGCTCCACTCTATTTTGTTCTTCTGTTCTTCTGCTCTATTCTACTCTTCTTCTAGCTCTTCTATTCTGCTCTGCTTTCCTCCACTCTTTGCTCTGCGCTTCTCTGCTCTACTCTGCTCAACTCTACTCTTCTCCACTCTTTGTTCTGCTTTCCTCCACTCTGCTCCGCTCCGCTCTAAAGGCAGCAAACAAATTCGGGTTATTCACAAACGGTTTATTTACAGATTAAGAATTTTCCGTTAAATATTCAATGCAATTTGTTTATTACAAATACCTTAAATTTTCATGCCCACCCATATTGGCAAATGTGCATGTTTATCAGGTTTTTTTTCTCTTAATTTTTACCACTCTCGTTATCGGAATAACAAATTTGCAAAAGCTTGTTACGATAACAAAATTAAGTCCGAAAATTCTAAATTTAATCCTAATGACAACGATTAAAATTACTTATGCAACATTAAAATAAAACGCACCATAAGGTCATGTTTCGAAAAATTAGATAATATAATGTGACTGATGAAATTGATAAAAATACCGGTGAGACAGGATCATAAATGGATAATGGCTATATTTTCTTCTAATTTAGTAGATAAAAAAATGCAAAATAAATCTATATAAAAGTATCAACAAATCGTACAATATGCGTTATCTAACAGTTAAATTTGTGTACAAATTTGTAATATCCCCCTCAAAGATCCCCTGTGCCTTTTTCGGTATCTTCTCGAAATGGTAAATAAATTACACACGTAATTGACACAATTATTAGTCGAAAAATTATGGCAAATAATATTAAACGTCAACAAGCAAGTAGGCTTAGGCAATAAAATGACGTGCAATTGTTATCTATTGTGTAAGGCGATTCAGATACATATTTTACATTTTGTTTTCCATATTCCATTCCCTGGTAAGTATAAAAGCGGCGATGCCCTCCCGCTGGTGTTAGTATTTAGAACATTTTTAAGATAACGCTATTTATTATTATCCAACGCTGGTTTAATCGACTCGAATTAATTTGTACTTATTGAATATGACGTCTAACGGTACTCATACGTTCAACGGCAATGGCGTTACGAAGAATGGTTTTCACCACAATGGAAAAGCGACGAACGGAGAGAAAAACGGCTGTAATGAAAATTCTACTAATGAAATGTAAGTTTTGTGTTTACGTAACTCCGGTTAGCGCCTGTTTAAATTGCTGTATTTCTACATTTAGGTATTTAAAACCTCAATTGAAATATTATACCGGCAATATCCTTGAAGAAATATATTTTAGAGAAGTTTTTGCCAATTGATAATAATGTTACCACAAACTCACCACATTTTCGCGCCCAACTATTACGTAAGATTTGACATGGGTTTTACATAATTAGATCACCTTATGGCATAAATTTGATTCAATTTGCAAGCAAATATTAATTTGGCTACTGTATAATTGATTCTTGAAAATAATTACCTAAAAGTACCTATGTGATAAGGGTATAAGGTTATTATCATATAGGTAAATTTGAACACCTTTATTTAAAAAATTGCTATCATTGGTTATCGTTATCACACCGTTTTAATATTTCCAATTTATAGGATTTTACATGACGCAACATACATTTATTTTAAAAAATTTACTGTTTTTACTATTTAATGTTTCACTTCATAAAAATCCTATATTTGCCAAAGGGGAAATTTTATTTTAAGTAAATATGTTCATAATGACATGATGGATTATATTTATCTGGATTGAATTATCTCAAATTGACAAATATTAAAAAAAATCGAGAGGTTCTCGAAAATTTCCAATAAATTTGTTCCATAATCCCTACTAAGAATTATTGAACATTGTGCAAATATTTTTATTAAAGCAATCCCCTGTAATTTCCATTGAAATTGATGTAATTTTTGATGTAACATTTTACTGACCACCCACCCCCTGTATTTCAGGACATAAATTGCACCATATAATATTCTATGATTATTTCTTGTTGACATACAATTTTTCGATGTTGATACCCATTCATTATTTGTTCTTATCATTTTATTACTATTTTATTTATTTTTAATAGCAGTTGAAAACTTATGGATTCAACGAACTAATTTTTATAATTATTTGATTTATTATATCAGAGAAAATATGTGTATTTTATCCAATTTATTTCGTCATCTCGTTCATGGTTCTAATGACACACTATATATTGGAACACCCTGTACTAAAATCATTTTTTTTAGTTTTTAGTCCTTACGGCAATTTTTTTATAACTTTATTTTGGAAATATCCTTCACATTATAGTTCTTTATAGAATAATTCATTAGTTAAATTAACTGAAATAAAAATATTTAAGGCGCAAATCTTTCATATAAAACAAACTTCCCCTAAAACTCTTTAATTTCCAGACCATTACAACAAGTAAATAAATGTTGAATAAATGTGTTAAATAAATCTTCCACAACCATATCAAAATATTTGTTCTTCCGCTACTCTTTTTTTCGAATCCTATTTAAATAGACCTCAAGCAAAGAGAATTTGCCGATAATGCAAGAAACATTAAACAATTTCGATTGTAAGTTTCAATTAAAAGTATAATAAAACGTTCTTATCACTTTCGTAAGACTTATTTATGTTGATAACGACAACATAAATGTGGAATATTTTTAAATAATTAAAAAAATAACTTTCGTAATTCACTTATTAAAATAATTGTACATGTAGTCTACAAATTAAACCCCGGGCGAATTTTAAGCATCCCAAATTGATAATATACATAAGAAGAAAATTCAATAAAGTTTTGAAAAATAGGGCAAAATAACAAATCAATTCGATTAGAAAAACAGGTTCGTTGCATAGAAACAAAAACACCATGTAATGTTATTTAATTTCGCATTCATCAGTTACGTTTAGCAAGATATAATACATTTATCTGTTAGATATTAGATATTAGATATACAATCAAGAAAATATGTTATATAATTTTTTATTGAACTTGACCTTCAATCGATAATTAACCTAGGCAAAAGGTATTGTTAACGCGCTACGAAACGTACTGAATTAATTCAGTTAACGGGGGCCGGTTTCGTTGATAAAAAAGCTATATCAATACTCAATACGTGCCTCACCTGTACTAGGCAAATCAGATTAAAATTTCAACAATAAAAAATTTAAAATTTAAATCCCGAATTCGAGATTTGAAAATATAACAGTTAATTGTACACATTAATATTAGAATGTGAGTAAATAATAAATAGTATATTAATGGTAAAATTGGTGTAAAATTATTAAAAAACATTTCAGGTCCTACTCCTACGAAGCTCTACAAGAAACGGCGGATTATTTAAAAAACATTATCCCATTGGTACCCAAAGTCGGAATAATCTGTGGATCCGGGCTGGGTGCGTATTGGCATGAAGGTTTCTAATTATTTATTATTAACAAAATTAAACTACACTAACACGACCAATTTATTAGCACGATTTTAACACTACAATTTAATAAACAACTAAAAGTGCATATAAAACATTTCTGAACAAATAACAGGTACTCTAGCGGATGCTTTGGACCAAAAAACCGAAGTCCCGTACGAAGTGATCCCGAATTTCCCGCCTAGCACGGTCAAAGGCCACGCGGGAGCCTTGGTGTTCGGGTACCTATCGGACGTCCCGGTGGTGTGCATGAAGGGCCGCTTCCACTACTACGAGGGCTACCCGCTGTGGAAGTGCGCCATGCCCGTCAGGGTGATGAAGCTGCTCGGCGTCACCCACCTGCTCGCCACCAACGCCGCCGGCGGGCTGAACCCCAACTACAAAGTGGGCGACATCATGCTGGTCAAGGACCACATCAACCTGATGGGCTTCGCCGGAAACAACCCCCTGCAGGGCCCCAACGACGAGAGGTTCGGCCCGCGGTTCCCGCCCATGAGCCAGGCCTACGACAGGAAGCTGATGAACCAGGCTAAGAAGATCGCCAACGACTTGGGGCTGGGGGGTAACATTCACGAAGGGGTGTACACTTGCTTGGGAGGACCGAATTTCGAGACGGTGAGTTATTAGGATTTTTGCGATGAATTATTTGCTTGAATTTTGTGCGTTGTTAACTATTTTTCAACTATAATAACATAAATATTTGTTATCAAGGTTGCAATTAGTAATTAATAACCAGAAAGCTTATTTTTTTGTAGCTGTTATACGAGTAGATATGACCAATTACCTGTATACGTCATTACAGGATATAAAGTATATGAATAACTGATCGAGTTAATAATGAATTTACAAATACAAATTTATTATTTATAAAAAAACAAGTTTCATTCTTCTGTAATGAATAGGAAAATGTCGATATATTCGAACTATTTGCGGTTGCAAACAATGCATTTATTCATCCAACTAATGATTACATATAAATGTATTCAAAATATTACCCATTTAACCTTGCATAAAAAAGGATTGATAACTTAATAGTACATTTTTAGTATTAAAGTATAACAATTTGTATGTAAGGTAGACTGGGGCAAATCGGTTGTAAAATTTGAATAGTTCAAATTAAATCCTAAAATGTGGCTTTATTTTTTTCTCTTGAAATGCTGATACCACATTAAATTCACAACTTCCTAAACTAAAGAATCGAGGTATTAAAAAGTTTTTTTGAAAAAGGAAGAAAACGATTTTACATATTTTTTAAAATGTTGACAATATGTTACATTTACCCCATGGTACGGGGTTCTAAAGTGCAATACAAATACAGAAAAACATATGGGGCAATTGTAAAAAAATATTTGGTTCCTCTAAAATTTTTTATGCTGTTTATTTATTTATTTCAAAAAAAAAACAGAGCTACAAAATAATAAAAAAAAATATATAAAGAATAAACCCTGTCTAATGCACAAAAGAACTATAAAAATATTAAAAACATTAACATAATAGGTAAAAATATTACATTTACCCCATTTTTACATTTGCCCCAGTCTACCTTACGTAATAGATATTCATATTGATATTTTTATCTTCAAATTTGTTGCACAGTTATCACAATAAATTATTATTGCAGGTGGCAGAACTAAGGGCCCTTAAAGTGCTGGGAGCCGATACGGTTGGAATGTCCACTGTACACGAAGTAATCACGGCGAGACATTGCGATTTGACCGTATTAGCTTTCAGTTTGATAACCAACGAATGCATAGTCGATTATGAAACGCAAGAAATGGCAAATCACGAAGAGGTCCTCGACGTTGGAAAAATGAGACAGGTCATTCTGCAAAAATTCGTAGGAAAGATCGTCGATTACATTTCCACCAGTGAGAATCAAAAGTGATTAGATTAACAGTGTAATTTTATTGATGTCTTTTACAACGCGTTATAAACTATTTATGTAAAGTTATTTAAGTTGGTAGGATAGATTAAAATATATTTTTTGTACGTGGATATTGTTGTAAGTTTTTTTTTATTAAACATCGTTAAATATTTCGAGTTTTTTGGATAATCCTGTGTTGCAAATTTGCTGGAGGGGCAGGAAAGTTCTGATGGAATATCGCAATTTTCAAAATACGTATATTGTATATCTTGTGAATAGGCAACTCAATACACACATTAATAATATTCAAATATAAAATTTTGAACTTTGGAAGTCAATTTCAAAACAGAACATGATTGCAAAATTTAATTATACATTTTTAATAAAAAAGTCGCCAATTCTCGCAAAATATTTACATGTACATTTACATGTAATTAGATCGTAAGTCGTATTAATTTTAATTAGCAAGGTGATAATTCCGAAATTTTAAAAACTACATGCGATAACAAACAAAGGTAAATTACCTGTTCAGAATCATAAGTTTATGAAATGTGATGCATTTCAAGTAAAATACACACTGTAGGTACAAAGTAAAGTTGTGTTTAACAATTATTAGATATTGATTATTGGAAATAAACGTGCGAGACAACACAAAAAATGGTAGGTGTAATGCAAATTTAATATTAACAATAGTAATTTATTTAGATTTTATTCGTACATGCCTAAATAAACATAGTAATAAAAATCTAAGTTACTCTTAGCAAAGGATTCGGCCATATCGATTCCTTTGGCTAACGTTCATCAGTACCAAAAATGCCAAAAAGTATTAAGTACATTATCGCAATTGTCAATTTTATTTAATTTGAATGATCATGATGGAATTATCAAATATGGAAATTAACTATCAAATGAATACAGATCTTACTAGAAAAACCTTTGACATTTGAACCGGATAGTTATAGTTTAAGGTCGTAGTTTAAGAATTATATTGATCAAAACTCTTTACTTAATTACATTTTTTATCACAAATTGGAACAATTCGTACTGAAACAAATCCTAGTACTGCGTAGTGCTTAACAACCGACCAGAAAGTTTTATATCCTATTAAAAATAATGTCAAAAATTTTTTTCTAGAATAGTGTGAAGAGGCAACAATCGTTTAAAACAAAATGAAGTAGTCGATTTACTTAAAGCCATAAGATTGGACAATTTTGTTCCATAAAGCAAACACTAACACCATTACATTCAATCGTGGTTTTACTAAAGGAAATAACGAAATTGCTCGCAATTACTTATGAATAAGCTAATATTAATGTCAAGAATTGTGATCTTTGAGAGAAGACAGATTAATATTGTTTACTTCTGCTTTCCTCGTGGTTGGTACAATTGCTGATAGTGGACTTATCGCATTATTTCTAGCAAACTAAAATTCGGCTTGCATTGTAGATTCCAAATTTCGTCGAAAATATAATATAAATGTATCGGAAGTGAAAAGAAGAATCATGTGCAGTTGTTGTTGTTGTTGTTATTAAATTATTAATAAAAAAGAAATAGCACAATGGAGTATATCAAAGTAAGTAAATATTTTGAAAATATTACAAACGTGAGACATATTTGTTGGAAATTGTTATAAATATATATTAAATGGGCTTTTCCGGCAGTCTTCAGATTTCTTCTTGAACAAATAAGTATATTGTTTCATGGTAAACTTTATTGAAAATGTACACTGTAAGTTATTCATCATTCTTTATTGTTAATTGACTTGTTATATCAAATGTAATATAACAACCATTTCTTTTTTAAATTTATCAATATCTATTATTGTATAGGAAAAATTAAAATTGCTTTGTTAGTATATTTAAAACAATCAATATTATAGTAGGTACTCAAAGTGGAATCCAAACAACTTCTAATTTGCTTCCTTCTTGATATTATCTGTACAATTTCTATTAATATCTTTGTTATTTCATTATATCTAACACTACTATTAACAATAAAAACCTATGTTTCCAGAAATCGTAAAGAATGTAACAATATACTTATGGCATAATAAGGGTTGCCAATATTTCTTCTATGGTTTTGATCATGTCACATTTGACGCCAAAAATCAATTAATTTGACATTTAAAGAGTGGCTCGTAATAACGGACATTCATTATCTAAATTAATATAAATTTCTAAAGATCCATTGATTTTTATATCGCCTCATTGACATTCTAAACAATTATGAAACCATTATAAATTCACCAGGTGATGATAACACTATCTTTTTTTACTGCGTCAGATTATATCAAATTTATTCAAATTTTGCACGAACACAATGAAAGCCTGTATTTTTAAATTAATTAAATGCCAAACAATGGAGATAATGAAAAAATATAATTAAATCACATGAAACCTATGGTGAACATTTTTTAAATCAATTGGGCATCCAATTGCCGCAGATAGTGTAAATTTATAATAGTGAGTCTGACATACCTATTTAAAAAACATTATTTCAATGTATTGCTATTTACAAATTAATCTTTTTGTATTCTGGGTTCATCTGCACTACTAACTCCTTGTGTTTCAGATGGTCACGAAAGTCTGGACGGCGATAACGAGGAAGAAACGGCACAATGACGAGATAGGTGACCGACTAGCAAGAATTCTCACTTTGGTGGATCTCATAGCCATGGGCACAGGAGCCACGCTGGGTTTAGGCGTTTACGTACTCGCTGGATCCGTTGCCAAAAATTACGCCGGACCAGCATCAGCCATATCCTTCGTTTTGGCCGCCCTCATATCCCTATTCGGAGGTAAGACCCAAAAAAATATTCTCAGTGGTTCCATTAGACAACCAATGGATCGATTGATCTACTCCTGATACTCACCCAGCACAAGGATTTGGAAATAATGACGTGCATTTGTAATTTTATCTTCAGGTTTCTGCTATGCAGAATTTGCTGCTAGAGTTCCAAGGACTGGATACGCTTACGCGTATTGTTACGCCGGAGTGGGAGAGCTCGTGGCGTTTTTAGTGGGCTGGAATCTCCTGTTGGGAGCCATGTTGGGTAAATTTCTGGCTAAGTTTATTCAAAGAAATTTATTTAACACTTAATAAATTGCAGGTATAGCCAGCGTAGCGAGCGGTATGAGTAGTTACATAGACACTTTGTTCGACAGCAGAATTAAAACGACTTTGGGTACTTATTTGGGTATAAACGTTCCTTATCTGTCCAGCTCTCCAGACATTTTAGCTTTAGGAATTATAATATTTATAACAGGTGAGTCGTTTAGACTTTTTGATCGACTAGCAAGTATTTTGTATATTAAAATTTCAGTCCTTCTGTCAATTGGTATAAAAGAATCTTCGAGGTTCAACAATTTATGCACCATATTAAACCTTCTAACAATTGTAACAGTCGTAATAGCTTGTTCTATAAAAGGTAAGAATCCCTCACGAATTCCAACCAAATTCTCTCACTAACCGATTCTCCTTTAAGCCGACATAAAGAACTGGAGGATTCCTTTGGAGAAGATTCCCGAGCAGTATCGGCAGGCGTCCGGCGACGGCGGTTTCCTGCCCTTCGGCGTCGCAGGAGTGATAGCGGGAACGCCGAACTGCTTCTTCGGCTTCACCGGCTTCGATGCGCCGGCCAATTGCAGCGAGGAGGCCAAGCGACCCAAGAGGGACATACCCTTGGCTATATTGATATCGCTGTTAATCGTGTTCGTTACCTATTTCACGCTATCCGTGCTACTGACGTTGGCTTATCCCTATTATCTGCAGGTTAGGTAAATATTTTTTCTATAAAGGTTATCGCTTTCGTGTGCTTTCGGGAAAATATTGGCTTAGGGAAGCTTGAAAACTAACTAGGGAATACCCAATTTGATCTACTTTTTTCCTTGCTTTTGCAATCAATAGTTTGTAACAAAGTTCTTGGATTTATAATTCAGAATGAAGAAGCGCCGTTTCCTCACGTTTTCGCAGAGTTCGGTTGGGATTGGGTCAAATGGATAGTGACTATAGGGGCGATTTTCGCACTCTCAGCGAGCGTTTTCGGCGCTATGTACATGGTACCCAGGGTGTTCTATGCGATGGCTAATGATGGTTTGATCTTCAAGTTCTTCGGGTCGATCAATCCCAGGACTAAGACGCCCCAAATAGCTACTATTTTTTCCGGCGCTGTGTCAGGTAGGAAAAATTTTTATGTAAAAATGGTTATTACAAATTGCTTATGTTTTTTTTTGGTTTCAGGTATCATGGCGACTTTTCTAGATATCAACGAGTTAATGGATTTAATGACGATAGGGGCGTTTTTCTCCTATGTTATCGTCGCATCTTCAGTGTTGATATTAAGGTGAACAAAAATTTTAATATTGAAATCTTATACGTATTATAATAATATGAATATTGATGACAATGTGATATACAATTTGCTATTATAAAAACAACATCAAGTGCATATGGAGGCATATCAACAGCATTTCTAGTTAATAATAATGGGAGTAATAATTTCATGAGGGGTGTTATCGTAGATTTCTTTTATGAAAATTGCTTGTTTAATTTTAGATACGAACATAAAGATGACAATATTGGTGTATTGGGCGATGACATTCCTCGGAGCTACCTACGCAGCATTTTCACATTCAAAGCGAATAAAATTCCTAATAGAATAACGTCCATAATAGCAAATATTAGCGTGTTCTTTTTCAGTAAGTAAATTGCAAAACATTCCAAATTTTCATATAAAACATACCTCTATAATCAATTAAGAGCTTAGTTTTTTTTTCACTCTGGTTTATTTTTGATGATAACAATTCAATTTTTCAGTAATTGTCACTGCCGTGTTCTGCGTGATTTTCAAAAACGAGTCCTTCTTTTCTTCGACAAGGATGTATTACATCTGCTGTTCTATCATGCTTGCGGCAATGGTGATCATTATTTTGATCATTTTCAGACAACCAGAAAGCGACGTTAAAATTCCGTTCAAGGTGAGGGAGGAATTTATTTAATTTTAATGGAATATGTGGTCAAATAATTTACTTTTAGGTTCCTTTGGTGCCTTTTATACCCTGCCTTAGCGTGATTTTTAATCTGTACCTGATGCTGCAATTGAGCGCCTTCACTTGGACTGGGTTCGTTAGCTGGATATTTATTGGTTAGTAGAAATAAATTATTACATTAGATGATGTGGTATAATAGGCAATTTGCAGGTTCTTTGGTATATTTTTGCTACGGAATTAAGAACAGCGAAGAAAATAACGAGAAAGGGATTAAATCAATCGAAACTTCGGTCATAGAGAGGAAGATTTGAGATACGAAAAGAAAAATTTGTCCGATGGAAAATCGTGTATTAGGTACTAAATAGGAATTATTTGATGAATCGCTAAACTCTAATGAGATTCTAATTATTTGGTAGCTAAGCCCGAAAATTTGTACATAAATCACTAGGTGGATTATTTCGTTTTTAGGTATTTTTTTAATAAAAATGGTATTACAGAATTCTTTGACAAATTTTGTACAAATGCAAATGTAATACACATCGAAGAATGATTACTTCAGCACTGCCTAAATATAGTCTAATTCGCTAATTGCGAGTTTTAATTAGTGAACCAATGCAATTCTTTCTAATTAGGCGTTATTGATAAATACAGTTTTTGATAAATACGTTTTTTTTTTATTATCATACTTGCAAAACGTGCAAATTTTGGCTAATTGCTTGAAAAAACCATTTGCACTATAAACTGAAATAAATCTGTTAAAAACACCTACATATTTTTTTGTAATTTTAAAGTAGAAAAGTTTGTTACACCAATGAAATATATTTGTACATAGAGCAAATAGTAAGGACTGTTACCATAAAGCAATATGAATCTACGTGTTAGAGCTTCATAATTCGAGTTTTCAGACGAAATTAATTAGGTGAAATGGGTAAGAAGGTTATTACTATTAGTTTTATCAATTTATACTACTAATTCTGATGCTTCTACATACAAAATGTATTGTCAGAGTGACTTTTTGCATGCAAAGACGTGCTTGTTAGATTTTTTAGGAGTTTTTTTAATTGGTTTTTATTGATAAAAATTCAGAACTTGCAAATTTAATGTACCGAACTAGATTTTTAACAAAACAAATTGATATTTTTAATTCTTAATGCGTACAGGCACTATTATAGCTCTGATACAGGTCTGTACTTTTCTATTTTATAAAAAGGAAATTATCTACATATAGAACATATTACGTCCGTTTTTTCTATACGTAATTAATTTTAAAAATAACGATAACACCGATAACATTGCAGCTTTGTTATTGGCGGTTAATATCGCTTTTTCTAGACGATAAGAGAAATTTGAACGGAAACCTTTAACGCTAAACAACTATAAAACTTAACAAATCGAAATTTGCTAAATATTAATTCTTCAATTAGATAAGTATAGAGATAAAAACCGAATAGATTTGTCGAGTTGTAAATTTACTCTAGCACGCTCGGCTTTTGCTATTTTTAGAGGTCAATATCAATATAATCGCTTACGTTATCATTATGTATGTCACAGAACAGCGCGTATGCATCCCCACTTAGAGCAATGTTACGCAAATAGTATAGTGTATAGTATACCTATAGTTGTGTTGTAGTAACACCCATACTAAAACCCAAATACCTCCAAATAGCATGATGTAACATAAGAATAGGCAAGCGTAAGCCAACGAATATGCGTGCACATGCTACACGGTGCAGAAGCCAACCTTCCCGTTCAAATAACGTTCTGAGCAACCTGAAATTCGGCTGCAGCTGATTCATTCACTGTTGTGTTAGGTTAGGTTGTGTAAGGATCGCAAGGGTAATACCGAAAAAACGTGCTCGCCTTTTACCGCGACGCCCGGTTAAATATGCTTATTTACTGCGTCGATAACATCGTAAATATTGCAGTAAATTCGCCGTGTCGACGAAACACGTTCGCAATCTGGTGTTGAATTTGTTTTGTAGGCGACATAATTTTATTGTTCTTAATTAAAAGGGGAATAGGCGGACAATTGACCGTCTGCCAGTAAATCAAACGGTTGATTAATTTGTATTTGAAAAAAGTGCGGCCGGAATGGAGGAACTTATAAAGGCTTTCGGTGAGTATAGAGGAATTATTACTGATAATATTTTTTTTGTTCGGGTTGGGTCGTATAGTTTCTTAGGAAATAGGTGAGTGAGGGTACCTGAATTTGTTTTCCAAGAATTGTTAGGCTTTTCTTAAATTCTAAATTTTAAAATAGGCTGGTGTTGTAATGGAGTTTTTTCGATTTGTGAAAGTTGCATCAGCTAAGTTTTAAATGGATTTTACGCTATATTGATTAGCGCATGTAATCAAATTGTAAATAATTCGTTATTGTTCCGTAACTGCTTTATATTTAGATTGTTTTTCAAAAACTATGTTACTATTAATAAAATACTTGAATATTGTAGGCACTTAATAACTTAAATATAGTAGAAGTAAATTAAGTATAGAATTTCCCCCTTTTAGTCGCCCTGAAATTCTAACTATGGAATTATACATAAAAAATTGATTTTTCAATGATTATTAATTATTAAAGATTAATAAAAAATAGTCAAATTTGACCTAAAGTTTGATATATTACTACTTTCCATACGTATCAAAACGGAAAATTTAAATTTACATGATGTTTACCATATTTTTTTATATTCTATGATTTATTTTTAACAATAAACATTGTGAAATATTTTCATGTCATTTTCGTTTGAATTGCGTCAAAATTTGCTACTGTAAAACGCGCAAGTTCGTCACAAAATCATCGATATCCATTGGTTTTATATTAATCATTTACTAAACAATAATATTGTTTGTTACCCTATTTTGAAATATTTCGGTTGTACAATAAAATAATAATTAATATCGTCATAATGCGAAAAATAGCAATGTTTAAAATCAAAGCAATTTTAATCATTCATACTATCACACCGATTTGTTAACTAACTGTTAAATAATTAAGACTACTTTGTGCTTAATAATTGTAAGTACCAACAACTTTCAAAATGTTATAATTTTAATTTAGAAACTATGCTTTCTCCCGGTAATATAATTTTCGCGCCATTCGCATTATTCTCGCATAATCTTATTAAACTTTCTTAACTAACGTTTTTATCTCTTGAAGATAAATCGAGATAATGAGTAAAGCATTAAGTTATTATACTTTTTCTATTAATTACATTGTTATTCACATGGTATTTAACACTATATACTCAAAAATTCTCTGTTATGGAAGGAAAGGTACCTGTACCTGAACCTGTTACACACATTGAAATAAACCAAAATGAAAATGTCGAAGGTAAGAATTTTTCCAAATCTAGTAAACGTAGGGAGTAAATGTTTTGCAATTTTTTTAGAATTATAGAAAGTTTAATGTTCCTTACAAAGTCGCGTTAACCATTAACAGCTTGTCAAGGTTTTCGGGATCAAGGTTGATTGATGATTGATCATGAATTGTTTTCAATTAATTTCTACGAGGCGCAGGTGGACGTATGTTCATAGATTTTATATTACAAAGTTTAAAAAAATCGTTATCGACCTTCCATTTGCATTTATTTCATACATCAAGCTGTTGATGATGGTTAAGTTGATTAAGCGCCTTGTTTAATAAGATTATTACGAGAAATGTCGCATTTCAAACACCTACCCAGGCGATATATTTCATCTTTACTCTAACAAACTTAAATTCTCAGGCGCGTCTAATAACATGAGACTGAAATGGCCATCATGGGATCAAACGCAAAGCGCATTGACCAGAAAGAAGATAATCAAAAATGAAACCGACACGAAATTGGCCAAAGTTTTGACTACGTTCGATCTCACTGCCTTAGGAATCGGCAGCACCTTGGGCGTCGGCGTCTACGTCCTCGCAGGAGACGTGGCCAGGAACACGGCAGGTCCTGCCGTCATCATATCCTTTTTCATAGCGGCGGTCACTTCAGTACTAGCAGGTTAATTGGCTATTTTAATCGAACGTTCAGTGGTACAATTGATTAATTAATTGTTGCAGGTTTGTGCTACGCTGAATTCGGAGCTCGAGTACCAAAGGCTGGTTCAGCGTACGTGTATAGTTACGTTTGCATTGGGGAATTTTTCGCTTTTATCATAGGATGGAATTTGATATTGGAGTATCTTATAGGTAAGATAGATCATTTGTCCAAGAAATTTTTTGCTCAAAATAGTGCATTGTATTGGGAAGATTAATGCTTGACTCGTTTCCTCAGGTTCTGCAGCCAGTACCAAAGCAATATTTTTATACATAGACGAATTAGCCAACAAGACAATGGCCAGTTTCTTCGAAGAAAACATGCCGCTCAGCGGCAACCAGATCTCCCATTATGCCGACATATTTTCATTAGCTTTAGCCATCGCATTCTCGAGTAAGTATTATTAACGCTCAACGAATATTTTATACCAACGTTTATTGCATTATTTTCAGTTGCCCTCGCTTGCGGCGCCAAAGAATCTTCAGTGATAAATAATATATTTACGTTCGTTAATTTAACAGTTGTGATTATTGTGATTGTATCAGGCCTTTGGAAAGGTAAGGTATCAAATTATTTTGATCTCTATAACATCGATTTATGTGCGATAATTTAGTTGATAGCCGAAACTGGAATAGAACTAAAGTTGAAGCCGGTGGTAAAGGCGATGGGGGATTCAGCCCCTATGGGATAAAAGGTATAGTGAAAGGAGCGGCTCGATGTTTCTACGGCTTCATTGGATTCGATTGCATCGCCACGGCAGGTGAATTGCAATAATATTGCGCGTGTTGTGATAATGATTTGTTTCAATTCGCAGGCGAGGAGACTAAGAACCCGCAGAAATCCATCCCCATTGGAGTGGTGGCGTCGCTGATGATCGTGTTCTTTTCTTACTTCGGCATGTCTCTGGTGATGACTATGATATTGCCCTATTATGAACAGGTTATTACTGACATTTTGATGTTTAAGAGCAGAATTTATAGAATATAAACGATTTTTAGGACGAAAATGCCCCATTGGCTTATATTTACGCTAGATTAGGTTGGACCGCGCTAAAATATATCGTTAGCATCGGTGCCATTTGCGCACTATTTTCTAGGTAAACATTTACTCCTATTAAATTTGCATTTATTATAAATGATTATAAATTTCAGTTTGCTGGGAGCGATGTTTCCTCTACCTAGGATAATTTACGCCATGGCGAATGATGGTCTGATTTTCAAGCCTTTAGGAAAAGTGCACTCTCATTTCCACACGCCTTTAATGGGTACACTCATTGCAGGAGCTCTGACGGGTAAAACTAACAAATTTTAAACCTGCAAAAGGAACCCTAATCTCTTATTTTAGGAACGCTGGCGTGCTTATTGGATCTCAATAAATTAACTGAAATGATGTCCATTGGGACTTTATTGGCGTACTCCATGGTAGCCGCTTGCATTTTAGTACTTAGGTTTGTACTGTCTAGAAATGTATACATTTCTCTTTAGTATTAATGTTATTAATTTGCAGGTATCATCCGGAATCGACTGAAAAAGAAATGGTAGTTCCTCCCGCTCTATACGTGAGACAAATTTTCAACAGGAAAACTCAGGAGCCTTCGAAACTGACCGGCGCCGTGGTGACGTGGGAGATCATCGTGTTTTGTATGTAGAGGGATTGTTAAAAAGTACCGTTTTTTAATGTATTGGTTTTTAGTTATGTTTTCGTTCATTACATCCGGAATTATGACTTTTTTCGAAGACGCTCTCTTCTCAGGCGAAATCTGGGTGCTAGCAGTTTGCTCGGTTTTGATTGCGATTTTGGTGTTTTTGATGGTTTTAGTCAGTTTCCAACCAACAACTAAGTTGAGCAGCGGGTTTTCTGTAAGTCGGTGATAATTAAACAATCTTCCGCTTATTGAATTAATATTATAACTTTAGGTGCCTCTTATACCGTGGATACCAGGACTTAGTATATTTACGAATATTTATTTAATGACACACATTCAAAAGGACACCTGGATTAAATACGGCTACTGGATGGTGATCGGTAAGGATTTTATTATTTTGTTAAATTTAAATAATAAAAAATGATAATTGCAGGTCTAGTGATATATTTCGCGTATGGTCTTTGGCATAGTATGGAACGTAATAAGGACGAGGAGCAAACGAGGGCACTAAATCGCCAACACGAAGAAAATACGTAACGATAAATTAATTCGTTTTACAATAATTTTATTAGAAAATCAATCAGTATTGTAACGTATTAAAATATCGTTAGCGATTTATGTATTTGAAAACTATTGTTTTCGTGAACGTAACTTAATTCGAATATACAATTTTATATCTCGTACTTTTTCAATTACAGTTGGTGCAAAACAAATATCAATGCACGTCACTACTGTCGTCATACTTGCCAAGCATTGTGCCCAACTTTTAAAAATAAATACAAAAATAGATTAAGCTTAATACATGCAAAATTTAATTTAATATTAACAAGGGTTATATGTTATAAATGATACAATTTGAGCTCTAAATAATTCAGATTCAGAAGTTTTCGTAGAAATTTCATTATATACTCTTTAAAGGGCCAATTGTATACTAAATTTTTTACTCGCACTATTAAATATATTTCAGATGATAAAGGAATTTGTTTATTAATTATAGTATGAGCCCCTAAATACGTCCGCCATTTAGAAACGTGACACAGGTACCTCTAATTTTCATTTTATTCTTCTCATTTTGCCATTTGACAATTTTAGAAAATTCTGAGATTTTGTAAACTCTATTCGGCAACACTGCCTACTTGTGACTTAGTAAATTATAGGTGACGTGCATTGATATTTGTTTTGCACCGACTGTATATCATAAGCAGCTTTGGATTTAGTCACGTTTTTACGGGAAAAAAGTATTACGAAACAACGTGCACACAATTTTATTACTTTTGTTCTCTAAAAATACATTAGAAGAACGACTTAAAGTAAATGCCTTCTTCCTTCGAAGGTAAGTAACAGAAGATCGTGTGCCGCAATTCCGGAAATTCGTAATTGAACATTGCCGGAAAATACGCCCTCATGGCATCTATTCGGGATTTCCTCACCGTTCGGTAATAATCCTCCGTCAGAGTTTCGACCTAAAATGATGTTTTTGATTGTCTTCATCTTCCCATTTACGTTTTGAACTTACCATGTTCTTCACATACGCGGCGTCAAACCACGTCAATTTATCCGCCTTGCTCCTACTTATTGGAATCTCAGGGAACGGAAGGCGACAACGATTCGCAGATTTCTTCAGCAGCTGCAGATGCTTCTTATTAAAAGGCGCTAAAAAATATATAGTTACTTTACAATTTATATGCCGGATACACATACGTCTCTCTTCCCATTTCCAACATTTACGACACCTCAAAAATATCCACAATTTGAAAATGGGCAGCTTCTCCACCTCCGGCAGCTTCGCCAACGGAAATCCATCCTCCGCCATTTGTCCCAGAGCTTTCTACAAATTACATCCAAAAAAATAGCACAACCAGGCAAAAATCGTGACACCTTACTATTATAATTTCCATCATTTCATTCAGGTCGCATGGTATGTGGTCCAATACGTAGTACCTTTTCAATTCTTTGGGCTCTTCCGGAGGCGGAGGTTCCACAAGTGGCTCGGGGCACGGCTGAGGAGGACATGGCTCAGGCGGCTCTAATTAACACAAATTTAATCAAAATATTCAGTGCAAGAAAAGAGGAAGGAAGAGGAAGGAAGAGGAAGGAAGAGGAAGGAAGAGGAAGGAAGAGGAAGGAAGAGGAAGGAAGAGGAAGGAAGAGAAAGGAAGAGGAAGAAAGAGAAAGTAAGAGAAAGAAAGGGGAAAGCAAGGATCAGCTTTCAAGTAAAACAGTGAAATTGGACTGACCGACTTCTGGTTCGTTGCAAGGCTCGCACGGCACCATTTTCTTCTCCATTTCCTCGTCGGCAAGTTCCAAGACGCAGGTGCAAGCGTTGTCGCCGAGCGGGGCCTTGTCCTCGTCGGAATCCGAATCTTTGGCCAATCGAAACGAGGAGAGATTGTCGAAATTGTCGGGTTTTTTTACGTCGCCGCAGGGACAGACGGGCTGGCAAGCAGGACACGGCGGTACGCAAGGTTCTTTTGGCGGCTCCGGTTCGGGTTCGGGAGGCGGTGGTGGACTGAAATGGTACATAAAATGTCTAATAACAGATATGGAATAAGCAAGAGGAGTTACTTCAGTTTTTCGTCTTTTTTGCGTTGCTTCTCCCTCCTTTTAGCTTCTTCCAATTTCGTCGTTACGATATCTTCCATGGTCTTCTTCATGTATTCTTCGAAAAAGTCCATGCAATTTTTGTGTTCCTCTTCAAATAGCTATAAGTAGAGCAAAAGTTAACGTTTTTTATCCGTCATACAACAGGCTACTCACGTCGTAGAGTTTGTGGCATTTGCATGGCTCGTTTCCCAACGTCGATAGAACGAAAAAGTTCTCCTTCGTTTGTTCCATGATTTCTTCCTTTTCCTCCTTGCCCTTTTTCTCCCGGCAATTCGGATCGCAATCGCTGACGCCGCCCTTTTGGGCGACGGCCAACGTGGCGCCCCAGACGCCCTCGATTTGGTACCGCGCCCTGCCGGTGGGCGGCATCTTCGGCATGCGCTGCAATCGTTCCGCTTCCTCGCGCATTTCGGCGTCGATTTCGGCGCAAATGCACTTGAGAGGCGTGCGCAACCCTTGGATTTGGTACACTGGTCCGTCTTTGGTTTGAGTTACACCGCCTGAAAAATCCCAATGGAGTAGTACCACAACGTCTTGTTGTTTGCAGTTTGGTTACCAATGGCGTATTTGTGTTCGCGCGCTCTCATCACTATTCTTGCTTTGACCCTTTGCTTGTATTCCTCCAGTTTCTTGATGTGCTCCTTGTACCTTTCCAGGCAATCGCAGTGGAGGTCTTGAACGGCTGCAATGAATTATTTTCACCGGATTACATCGATATATGCGTTATTGTTGTGGTATTTCTACCTTGTACGATCGGTACTGTTATGGAATAGTCCTCAGCGACAGCGTCCGAAGGTTCGCAAACGAATTGCTTGGTTCCGGCAAGCACCAGGTCGCGATTTTCGATCCTGCGTTGCTCCTCGCAGTCGGCGCAACGACACTGCAACGCGAGGAACTTGTTCAGTTCCTCCTTGCAGGTGCAATGGGCCTTCTCCCAGGGCATGATCGGCGACGGTTTGAGTTCCGGTATGGGTACTTCTACCAAGGTTTTCTCGCGCGATTTCTCTTCCTCCATGCACAGGCAGATGGCGCGACCGCAAGGCTTCGGTCCGGCGTTCGCCTTCGCTCGTTTCCCTCTGCATTTGATAGAAACGTGAATTTAAATTAGACCAAGTGCGTTGTAACTTAGTCGAATTGATGTTACCCATCAGGAGGCACCACTGATTGGACGACGTAATGAGCACCTTGAGGAGTATAAAATACACCACAAATGAAGAATTTAGTCTTGTCGACTTCCATTTTTTCAGCCTTATCCAATAGCCCCCATCTGGATTGGTATCTTTGCAAGCACAAGCATTCCCTTTCCTTATAGAAACCTCCGATAATCGGAACAATGCTACCATCAGGCATCGCTCTGTTACCATTATTTACTATCCTCTCCTTGAACCTCTTCTTTAGCATGCATCGTTTACAGTACGATTTCATGTGGGTCCATGCCAGGCCTTTACACTCGCACGCATCTTCCGGACATTCTCCACACGGAATGCTCTGCGGAAGACCTGCAAATAGAACAAATAGGAATATCTGCATAAATTCTATTAGTAAAGTAAGTACATATCGGTTCTATTTCCTCTGGTTCGCTGGGTTCCGTGGCTTCAGAGGGAGCCCCATCGCCGCCCGTGCCAGGTTCCTCGCATGTGCAAGGCTCCTCGGCGTCCGGTAGCTCCGGTAGTGCCGGCAGGCAAGGCTCCGTAGGCTCCGGTTGCGGCTTCGGCGCCGGTTTCTTCGATCGTTTCAGGTATTCTTCGATGTCTTTGCAACGGTCTTTCACCATACAAGCCACCACGTTCTTCGGTTCCGGATGAGGCAATCTGCTGTACATTATTTGAGCGTTCTTCATGTCTTCTAATATCTCCAATACGACTGAAATTGGAATGTTTTGAGAGGTGCAAGAGGTTTGTCCAGAAACCTGGTAAAGTTACCTGGATCTTCTATTCCAGTTGTATCAATTTCGCGAGGGTCTTGACTGTTAGCTATTTCGATGTACTAAAAGTGCGATTGTTGCAGAAAAATATGTTCAGTCGACAAATATATTGTATTACCAAAGCAGTTAAATACGAGAAATATGGATTTTCCGGGCATTGAACTATGTTTTTCTTGTAAATACCAGTGTGCTTCGGAGGATCTCGTACGAACGTGTAGGGCTCCAAATATGGCGAATCGTATTTTTCCTTTTTGGGCCTTTTAGGTTTAGTTTCGGTTTTCTTTTTAGTCTCCCTAGGTGGAGACGGTATTCTTACATGCAGTTCCCTAAAAGAATTTGCTAGACATAGCCGAACGTATAAGATCCAGGATCAATAATGGAGAACCTTAAAGTTGTTTTGCTAAAGTTGATGGATCTATCAAAAAAATGTAGAAGAATAATTTGAAGATAATTGCGAAAGTTTAATTGGAAAACTCCACTTATTGAGGTGATTATTGGACACGTGGGGTCAAAATCTTTACCTCAAAGTGTCCGTTATGCACAAATGGTAAACGGCTGTAAGCAGCAACCGATCGTTGATGGAGTATTCGGTCCTCTTAGGGTGCGAAATTTGGTACAAAACCAGCAGAAATTCGACGTCGTTGCCGCAACAGTACCGCAAAGCGATCTTGATGGCGATGTGGTTTGCCCTGAGCATCAGGCCGAGCTGGGCCAGATTGTCCTTGGTGTATTCGATGGTGTTGAATTGGAGGTCCCTGTCGATGCACCATTGGAGATTATCCGCCACGGCCATTTGCCTGAACGACAATTCTTGGAACCAAAGAGGACAGCACTCCACTTTGAAGGTGTACGTGAACATTTTGATCTCTACGGCGGCGAATGGAAGGGAATTAATTTACGTACAATGCAGAAAATTCTCGAGCGTTGTAAACTCACTATCTTTAACTACATTCTGCCGTCTGTTCTTCACATACTCTGCGAACATTTCCTTGTACATGGCCTGTCGTTTTTCCACCCTTTCCCTCCAGACTTCGTCGACGTATTTCCAGCAGGGCGGGCCTCCCGAGGCGTAGACGGGCTTCTTCTTGGCTATGTAACCCGGCGGCGCGAGAACGTAGTCCCCGATGATTTCCTTCGCCCGGATCTTGGTATCGCCAACGTTCCACCTAAGGTAACATGTCGATGCAATGGAGCACACAGGGCTTATAGAGTGGGTGAACTGGTGTACCTGACGTTCGTTTCGGAGAGATGGTAATCGAGACACTCATTTTCCTTCGGTCGGAAGCTTTCCAATAGCAAAGGCTTTCGCTTGAAGTTGGTGGGGAAGATCTTAGCAACCCGCAGGGGGCTGAATTTGTCGAGGAGATCATCGGCTGGGTTCGTGTGCTTGCTGCTGGCCGCCGAAGCTCGAGCCATCTTGCACTATATCGCACGGCAATTTGTTTGAAATAATCGAATCAATCGAAGGAATTCAAAGTTTGGACGTGAAATTTGAAACCAACCAAAGCTAATGAAGTTTATCAGAAAAATGACGTTTTTTTGTGTACTGGGGGTTGCTGGAATGTTGAAGATTTTTTGGGAAAAGCGAAATAAGAAAATACAAAGAAACGTTGATCAGTCTGTTTATTAGATATGTTTTAACATATACAAAGAAATTAATACCATAGAAAAAAATAAAAGAGCGATTAATCATAGATAATACGGAATAAAATAATGTCCTATTCACGAAACATTTCGAAATACTTACGCTTACAGTTAACTCCTTACTAGTTTAACGAATTAAAAAATATTTATGGAAAATTAGAAAAATCTCTTCTCTTATTATCTTGTTGCTAAAAAATCACAGCTTTGTGTACAGTTCACTCCAGAACTAACGACTATTTAAATTTCTTGCAGCGACACCTAGACAATCGGATTCAAAAATCGATAAAACATTTCCCGTTTTCCGCGAAATTCCGCGCTCTTTGTGGTAGTGAAACTGTGAAATTTTCTACAAACTTTCCGTCGAATTGTCCGGCTGCGTTAAACTTTTTAATTTTCTCCGTATAAACGATTTTCTAAAATTTTAATCGAAAAAATTTATATGGAATGTCATCAACTACATAAACAGTTTCTTTTAATTAAATCTTAACGTATATTTTACACAACTTGTTAGTCACATAATGAAGAAATGAACCGAGGAAAGCGCCGTTGTAGCTCTTGCGTATGTGCGTTTAACATATTAAGTAGTTTCTGAGATGTATCCAAAGGGCTTTCCTGCATTTTTAAACGCTTATTTTACTGAGCTTGCTTTATAAATTCGAGTAACCTGGTTGTTTTACTGGTTTATCAAATATTCTACTCCACAAATGATTGATTTCCACGTGATAAAATTCGAAATCAACGTAGTAAATTGGTTATGTTTATGTTGGTACCCAAAAAATAAATTACTAGAATACTGTCATTGTATTCAAAATAGGGACATTTCTTGAAAATAATAACAGTGCACTTTGGGTTGCATAAATTTTTAGGTCACGTGGGAATCAATCATTTATGACGACTCTGTAATAAGTATTTTGAATTTGCTTGAAATGCATTTATCTACTCAATTTCATGCAACTTCAGCACAATAAAAAAACCAGTAGGGCACGTTCGTAACAAATTTGGACGTTTTAGAATATTTTTTCGATAAATATTTACCAAACATTAAAAAGTAAAATTCGCATCATGTAAAACAACCTAGGGATCAATAATATCCATCATCCCAAAATTTCATCAAATACACTTTGATAGGTACTTCGTTATCTCGAAAACTATCTTCGAAACACTCATCAAACATTACAAACGAAACGACTCTAATCGTCGTCAGCGGAGGGCACTATCGGTAAGTCTTGATCGGAAACGTTCGTTCTGATGGGCCTGAGTATCTGAAAAGCGGATCCCGAGCTGGGTTGCAATTTAAAAGTAGTGGGCTGCGGCGCGTGCTCCAACGCTGGCAACCGGTTCTCCGTCAGCGACTTCGACAGGACCTTTTCGCAGCCGTCGGGCGGCTCCCGGGCCAGAAACCGGTTGATTTGCGGCGACGAACCCAGCTTCGACGTCTCCTGGTCCGGGCTCGATCCCTGACTCTCGCCTAACGACAAAAAACCGTTACTCGAACGCTAAAGGTGTATAGAACCGGTGCTCACCCGAAGAGTGCGAGCTGTTGCCGAAATTTTGCGGCGTCTGCGTATCGACGGACCTCGATCTGGCGGCGAATTTGAACAAATCGGCGACGGGCGCCCGGTGGCCCTCCGGTATCGTCTCCGAATACCGGTCCTCGAACGATCTGCACGCGTGAGTCTCGCCGTCGGTCTTCAACACCAATCGTTCGATCTCCTGGTTGAGCCCTTCCACGGAACTGCGGATCGACGGTTTGGTCAGCGGCTTCGGCATCGGCGGCGAGTAATAAGCTGCGAAAACGATTCCACAAAAATAAAACAGCTCGATAATCATTAGCTTCTAATCTCTAGTTGAGTTTATGTAAAACGCTCATTCCTGCTTGTAGCACTCGCTACAGTACTTACACTTACTTGAAACAGTTTGAGAACTAGTATTTAATGTGTTCTCTCCGCCACCTCCTCCTCCAACTGATAGGGAACCCTTCGGATCTTTGGTGCTCCATACTCTTGATCTCGCACTGGGCCTGTCCTGCCTGCGGTCTATTTCGGATATGCAGTGGATCTGGCGCAAATCCGATAAGCACGATTCGTCGGTCTGTAAAACCATTTGCTGGCTAGCACGAATTAAAATGTAAATTGCACTATCTACCTGGGTGGCTTCGTTAACGTGAAGAGTGCCCATGCTCCAACGAAAGCCGTCCCTTGGCCAGTGTCCTTTCAAGTAAATGGCGTCCATCGAAGCGGTTCTTCGCATGGTACAGTTGGTTGCCGAAGCAGCCTTCGGTTTGCCTGGATAATTAAATTTTGTAGTAGTGATAAAATTAAACATAAAGCATATGTTACGAAATGACGAAAGTTGTAAAATTTTAGCGAGATTATCACAATAATCAAGGAATATTTGCCGTTTGGTTTTTTACGTTAAGAGTCGAATGATCTACTACGATCATTTACTTACAACGTGCATCGAAATAGTTTGTTTTGATACGAATTAACGAGTTTCGGGAATACTTGGCAGGAATAAACTATCAATGTTTCTAAATTTAAAATATGGCATAAAAAATAGTTTACATTTGGGAGTAATAATGATTATTGTTCGAATAAATTAGCACATGATACATTTCAGAATTTAGCATTTTAAATGGAACTGGTTTAGCTAGTGTGCTCGATAATAAAGGGCCATTTTTAATATTATTATAAAGAGATATACTAAATTCAATGTTAATAATGAAACCACATGAAAATACAAGTAAAACCTGTCTTTAATAATTTATTTTTAGTCTCCTTATCACATAGGATATTTGATATGAAGAATATTATCGAAGGTAGCAGGGTATGCATAAGGATATAAGTTTCAATTAAAAAAAAATACAAACTTTGTGAATAATCTTGAGTATATTTGAAGCAAAATTGATGAGCATATGGTGCATATGGAGTTAAAATCTTGGTCATAAAAAAATTAAATACCTTTGTAACCGGCGGATCCGGGGCTCCTCTGGCCTGAAGCGTGCTCGGGGGAACTCCCGTTTTTCCGAAAATACGCATTATTCCCGCTCGGCGATTTCAAATTACCGCTGTTTTTCATGACGGAAGAAATGGGTATAGTCGCCTTGAGCGGCCCCTGTTTCACTGAATTCGGCGACGATTTGTTCAATCTCGAGCAATTTTGTCCGGACATATTGCAAAAAAACGTTCGCTTTACACACCGAAAAAACGTTATCGTCGCCACACAAAAACTACGCCCATCGGGTCGTTTCGTTTACCAGCCAACCGAAAATAGAATTATCATTTATCGTTATTTTTCTTTGTGCGCGATAATAAATAAACCTTTCGAAGGTCCCATTGTTTTGCGGTATGCACGTACGATGTAGTATTTTACGCGCACGGTCCACGGGGTTCTTTATTTCCTGTTGTAGTTGTCCTTTCCTTATCGTACGTGTTGCGTAAACAAGGAGTACGTTAGCATTACATTCATTCACAAATCACAAAGGAACGCCGTATGCCGCATGCGAATACGCCGACACGCACATTGATTGATGTTAATTGAACGTTTTATTGTGGAACTAGACCGTTTTCGCGGTTATCTCGCGGTTATTTCTTGTTCTGGTGGCGAAAATGTCGATTAAAAATGAAAATGTTTGTTTACATCTTCGAAACGTACTAGAAGCATTCATGTGTCAGTGTCATTCTTATGTCAAACACAGCTGATTGTTTGGCTGTATAGCTTTGCTAACAGTGGACTTAATTTGACAAAATATTATAAGGAAGAAGATACTCACAGAACGTCATTTCGTTTAACCGCTTGTTCCGTGTCAATGAAATATATTTCAAATATTTGAAAAGTTTTGATTTTAACTTTAAACTTTCTTTTTATACTTTTTCGTAAAATTTATATACTAATTTTTGTGCTAAATTAAAACCTTATAATTTAATACTGTTGTAATAAACTACATTCAATTAAATATCGTACAAATTTAAATTGTTATGTTAAATTTAAAAAGTTACGTATGTTATAAAATGTTAAATTTTAATTAACTAATAACATTTTTGAGGGGTAATTAAACACTTGTTGTAATATTTAATTATTTTATTACACCAACAATCATATCTTATATTCATAAGTTTTAAATAACAAAACTTATCCTTAAAAATAAAATTTAAACAAAATAAAACTCCTAAAAATAATATGGAAGCATTTTGAATGGATTGTTGCCGCTAATGAAAAAAAAAGAAAAATGTCCCATAAGCATATGAAAATATATATATTTACAAAAAAATTAAAGTACCCATATAACCAATTGCATTTTAAAAATGAAAAAAAATGTACACTTTTTTATACATTCGATTATTTTTAAAGAATTTAAAACATACATTATCAATTCGTGGTATTGCGTTTATTGCTTAGTGAATTGAATTGCTTTGTAAAATATTTGCAAAATTTAAACGATTTCGGAAAGTAATTTCTGTATGTGTTTCGTTTGAGCGAAAACATAACATTATGTTTCGCTCAACTCTATTGTTTAGAGTATATTGGCTTATTTAATCCAACGTTGAAAAATTGATAATATAAAAAATAAATAACCTTCTTTAAAAAATAACGGAATGTATCGGCTTAAATGAAAAATTAATCAAGAAATAAAGCATACAATCTAAAAGCTAAAAATGTCTCAAGTTTTGTCTTATAGCCTAAATACAATACAATATAAGTACATCTGTGGAATTTTTTCTGAGTATTGAGGTAATACAGTAAATTTATCATTTTGTTGTAAAACAGTATGTGTTGTACTGGTTCAAGGCATCTTGTTGCTTGAGGTGGTTTATCAATCTAAACACCGCATTGCAAATTAATCGTTATTGTAATCTCTCCATAAAATTTTTAATTGCAATATCGGTTGTCTAGGCGAACACCTTCATTAAGAGGAAGCGGAACATCAACCAAATGGATTGTGACAACACTGACATCATTATCTACTATCACTACTGCAACACCAGTGCATAATCATCTGCAACTACTGCAACATCAGTGAACAACAGCTATCATTATGCTACTTGAATTATGTTTGATTATACTGAATTCTAACGATGATAAAATGCTAGTGTTGCTGATGGTGTTAGTAGAAAAATGAAGTGAATCTCTATCCTGTTCATTTTCGTTTTCGTTCTGGGGCAGTGCAGATATATTTCTAACCATTTGTAAATCTAACCAATCTAACCTCAAATTTTCATCCGATACCTATTTGAGTGACCCTCATTACTTATTATAGTGATATTCGGTTGTATAGTGCTTCGATCTAAGCCCAGATACACAATAGCGATGTATTTTATAAAATAGTTTCCCTGAGGTATTTAAATCTAGGCCCAGTTTGATTTGTTATTTTTAATATAGATATATTTTGTGTACAGAAATATAAAATAGATTATTTTAATACTATTGGCAGTAATAAAAGTTACTATTCAAGATGTATTTTAAATATGAGGTACCATTCTTTATTTGATTATGTTTTAAGTCTACTATCATACGAACTATTTATACCAAGTTGTGATTATGTCTCTAAGGAGGGGGTGATATTTTTTTTTTCATTTCGAAGATATGATGAAGGATATATTAACGCTTAGGCAAAATTTGAGGATAAAGAGGTGATGGAAAAAGTGTTTTAAATTTTACAATGTAACACCACATACACTATATTCTAGTTCACGCCAATTTTCAATCGGTAACAAAATCTACAGCAGATAATTTTTGTTTTCGGTCCAAATATCCATTTCTCTTTAAAAAGATAAAATTTAAATATATGTATATCTTTCTTTTTATAAAATATCTAAAATTGCTACCTTTAGGTACAAATTTTAATACTGTTCAATTTTATTCAATATATTTATATAATTTTTCTTTTTACCCAAATTTGTTGTTGGCATGAATATAGATATGCAATTTTGTTTTTTTTTCTAACAAATAATATTAACTAAAAACTTACACCTATTTACTACATGTATATAACAAAAAAAACTATTTACAATGGAAATATAGTGATAGTTTGGTTGTTCATTTCGAAATAAAATAAAGGATTATATCCAAAAATTGTTTAAAGTTCAAAACTAGGAAAGATTTTTGATACTTTTGGGTTACCAAAAACTAGCAGGAAGCTAATTTACATCCTGTCATAAACTCAATGTTACCAATATTTTCCAAAAGACTCTTACATTCTCTAAATTGCTGCAAATCGTACCAGAAAATGTATGAAAAAAAGCTTTCAAATGTATGTAAAGACACATTTCAAAAATCAATAAATTCACCGGTCGTTTTCTCTCATTGCAAAACCAACAACCACCCAACCGCATATTTCCACCAACAACCCGACACTTTTATATCAATGTTCATTTACTTTAAAATGGCACGTTTTAAAAAAATATTTTCGAATCTTTTAGAAACAAATTTTCCAATTGAAATGTCTTTGGTTCGACCGTATCACAAAAACTAAACAAATAAATAATTTTTTAAACCTAATCAGACAAAAAGTTTTGAGGAGTCACAGCACTAAATATACAGTCAAAATGCACGAGGAAAATTGACCTAGAGCAAAGTACCTTTTACCAGAAATTTTATAAGGTGTAAGTAGCACATAGGTGGTTTTATTATAACTTATGAGGTTGTTATAAGAGGTGCAACTTCATTTTGACCTCTAGGTCAATTTTCCTCGGAAATGTACGCTACCGGTTGCCGAAATGTAACCGTGCCGTTTCCTTTTCTCAGATCAAAAACTAATTACTTTATAGGAGTTTCCCGTGTCGATTGTTGCGCTTTCCGCGCCAAAATTAAATCTAAACATCACAGAAACGTAAATTTAGTTAACAAATAACAACAAATAAATATACTATACCAAAACACAATTTCAACAACAAAAAAAGAAACTAAAAAAAATCACAAGTTGAATGTCGAATTTGGTAAATAAATTTTTCGCAGACATTCAACAGTTCCCGGAGGGCGCAACAATCGACGCGCGAACTTGCATACGCACTAATCAACCTAATTTTCTTTAATTTACTTAACATAATAATGAACAAATGCAAAAATTGGCACATCATTATTTACATTGAACCCTGGAGAGATATGTAAGTCTGAAAACCTTTCACAGCAACACCTGCCTAGCTGTTTTTTAACCTAGCCAAGTTTAAATAACATAAATACATAGAATAACATTTAAGATTTTATCGCGAAATCTCAACACCGCGACTTTTTCTAATTAAATCACATGAGCAAATTTTCATCGATTACTTATCACACCTCGACATTAAGGATATTTCAATGGTTAATGAACATCTTTTACCGGTACGCAGAGGTAAACAATTATAGAGGCGGTTTTACAACCACAATATGTGGCAAAAGCTTAGGGATGAAGATAATTCGTCTAGAAAAAACTTCGTTTAATAACTCTATAACCTTTTTGTACCAATAAAATAATTGCATTATTCCAATGAAACGTTCCGTATAATACAGTATCATTTTACTGTAGGTTTGTAACGTTTGATTATTTCAAAATTTTGATATGTATCAATCGAAATGTAACGAGTTTTTAAACTCACCGAAGATTGCATTTTGTGGCGAAGCGAAAACTTCTTATTTTTGACACAACAACAATTGGAACTCCATGGAAATGCGACAATTCCAAATTAGAGTTAATTTCCAATTTAACATCATCAGGGGTTAACAAAAATGCAACTTGGGCGAGCGGAGTGTGATAAATATTCGAAATGGGATAAAATGTTAGAGACGATATTTTCGTCGAAAAATGGGGAACGAAAAAATTGAACTGAATCACAGTAACACTGGGAAATGTCTCATATATTCCTGGGGGTAGATCACGAGAATATACACGCACACTGATGTGGGACAGAGTGATGTATGCATTATTGAGGGTGATATGGTGAAGATATGTCATTTGGTGGCGAATTGCTATTAGCTCAATCGAAGATAGAAAGTAGACCATATACCTCCTTTACCAAATGTGCGAAATTGCTAATAGAAATTCGCTATCGGGATATTTGTTAGGTATCTATCTCGATGTGGCTGCTTGCCATCATTCAAATGAAAGTAGTAAATATAGACATATAAAAACTACATTGGGCTCTGTGGGGATTTGTACTTTCGGTTTTACAGTAGCGTTTAGGCCGTTACCAGGGCAGTGGCTCACTGGAGACGCGGCGGCGGTTGCTGCTGTTGTAACGTCGTCGGCGGCGAAGCAGAGGTGACGCCGAGCACGCTCTTGATGGCCGTCGTCTTGAGCAATCTTTTGAGCATGCCGCTGGAGCCGCGATGCTGAAGACTCTTGTGGGTGGTGAGCGAGTTCTTGGTGCGATACCGCCGATGGCAGAACTCGCAGAGGTAGAGCGTATCGGACTGCTCGTGCTTGTCCTGAAAGTGCCTCTTGAGCGAGTAGTAGCAGCTGAAGGTGCGCCTGCAGTAAGGGCACTCCTGCGGTTCGTTGATGCCTCCGGATGTAGGAGGCGGCATCCGCACCGGCCCTGCAACAGCAGCACAGGGCTGTGGTGGAGGTGTGGTCGAAGGCGCTCGACATGGGGACAACAACTGGGGCGAACATGCAGGCTGATGGCGGCAAGCGGCACAATTCATAACTACACAGAGAGCTGCGGTAGCGGCAAGCGGGGGTGAAAAAGGGGCTACGGATGGTACCTGGGAGCGTGGTCGAAGGCAGCAGCGGCTGGGGCAGGTGCTCTGGCTAAAAGAACTTTATGTCGATGTCGCCGGGACGCGACTTGTGGTATGTGTAGATGTGCGTCATTAGAGAATTCCGGGAACAGTATACGCGCTCGCAGATGACGCAACGGTATTCCTCCTGTCGTTCTGCGTGCTTGTCGGCGATGTGTCGCTTCAGGGATGCCTTAGAGCACAGCACCTTACCGCACAGCTGGCACGTGAACACCTTCTTGGGCGACGCCCCTGCAACAGCAAAACCAAGCTCGCACTGGTCTGTTCGCGCGTGTTGCCACCAGCAGATTTTCTACTATTTTTTTTATCTACTAATCGCGGCTCTGAATTAATTTTTTAATTTATTGGAAAAAAAATCTAATATCTCGGCGCCATCTTACTGTGACCGCACACTCGCGATCCGGCCATATGCGACCTTAGCATTTCTGTTCGCAGGTTCTAAATCACTTAAACCACCGTCTTATAAAAATTCCGATCTAATTTATCTTACTTACAAATTCTATTTTATATTTTACTATTTATTTTTGATACTTAACAATTCTGAAATAGACTTCACTTACAGTTTGTGAGTCTATAGGTCTAGAAAATAATAACAAATATCAAACAAATTTTATGGAAACAATAAGATATTTCAGTGGGTTTTCAGTCATGTTATGAATAAATTTCATATTTTTTTAATTACCTAATTAAATACAAATACAAATGTATAATACAACCAAGTAACAATATGGTTTACATAAATAATTTTTCAACTAGAATTCATTTTTATCAGTTAATTTTTTAATTGTCAAGTATCATATTTTACTTTTTTATACAATGAGTAGGAAATAGTTTTAAAACAATTTTTAATATTGAATTAAAAAGCACTATTATCTAAATCGATAACAATTATATTTGAATTAACAAAGTTGGTTACATTTTCTACTCAAATTATATAAAAAATTCACTATTTAATTTACATATCTAAAAGATTAATATACGTACTTATTGGTGGCAACTATTTTAATCAGTATGCGTAAATATTATTTTTGATTCGTGAGATTTGTAACAATTTTTTTATTTGAGTTTGAAAACCGTTCATAATCTTTTAACTATTGTACAACAGTTAGATTTAATAATTATTAAAAAATGCAAATTCCTGCTTTCAATGGGGAAAATATTTTCTATTTTTTTATAAACCACAAATTAAAATATAATTAAATTTCACCCACATTAAATTGCCGGACATTAAATTTCAACTATGGCAGAAGTTCCCTTTTTTTGGTATTGTTATTTTAATTTAAATTTTTGTGTTTTGAATAGTACCTATGTGCAAAAATATTTAAAAAAAACTCGGAATTTTAGAACATTATTTAGGAAATTATGTAATATTTAATTAAGAAAGTCATGTTTGTGTGGGTTACCTATTCGTTTTATAGCCCAATAGAACCAATAACCAATGGTACCAACTGTTAAAAAATCAGTGCTACCAACATGTCCTCTAAGATATTGAAATGGTTGACAATATTGATGAAAAATGTATTAACTTCAGGCCAATTGTTCTTCAAATTATTAACTAATTAAGCTAATATTTCAGTATGTATTATTTGAAATAGAGTGAAAAATTTTCCCCAGAAGCAGTTTCTGAAAATATCTGAAAGGTTTTCGAACTTACTGAATTTTTCCAACTGAAAAAAAAATGTTAAAAGAAATAAAAAAAACTTTTTAAGCAGCGCTTTGTCAAATAAAACGAAGCCAAACGTTCCGAAAGCTAAACAGTAACCTGCCTTACGACTATCCAAAAACCGCCTACTGCGCAGGTTATTCATGACGTCATCCGTCGTCGCCTAAGAAGGTGTTCTGTGTTTATCTCCCGAACAGAAGATACTACGAGTGTGCGGTAGGTGGCGCCAGTTTCGTAACAAGGTAAGAAAATTGGTAGACTCCTGGTGGCGGCAACACACAAAGTGTTGTAAAGGGAAGAACTTTGATACACACACACACATACATTTAAAAAAATATATATCTCATAGAAAATAAAGTGGGACAGTGGCGATAAACTATTCTCAAGCAAAATAAAACCCAAGCTGCTTTTGCAAATGTAAAAATATATTTAAACATAAATAAAAGGTTATACAACAGTACATAAAATATGATAAGTATTGCATCAAACAACATAGAACATGCCTATAATGCAAAAAAAATCAATAAGTTACTACACAGGACTAAAATTTCAATTTCTTTCTATATATTTTTTTAAAAACTTAGGGGTTGCCAATCTCTTTTTTTCCTTACCGAAACAACAAAATCAGTCAAAAATTAGTCAGTCTTAAAAAATACCGAGAAGAATCAGTTCAATTCAGTCTTTTAGAAAACTAAGTCCTGTCTCTCAGTGCAACATCTTAAATATTCTTATAAATACAAAAATAGGATACTAATAACTAGTTACTACATAAAATAAAAAAAACAAAATATAAAGCCTCCAAATAATCCGATTTTTCAGACGAAGGGTATTTTAATTATTCGATTAAAAATTGCTAAATTAATCGAATCAAGCTAAGAAAATCACTAACATTTGTAGGAGATACATAAATATGTATCTACATTTAGAATGTACCTTTTAGGACTTCTTTAAATAATCAAGAAGAATAATAAAAACGAATAATAATTAAAAATATTAATAAAATTAGAATTATGAATTAAGTTTTAATCCAAAAATTAAATTTTAACAATTAAAACAAATTAAGATAAAAATTCGATTAACCAGCCTAGTAAAAACTGGAAAATTCCCTTCGTCCATTGTAGCACGTAAAATCCTATTACTCTCATTAGATTTTAAATAACCAAAAAAAATATTGCCATCGAATTCGACTAGAACTTTTTTAACATTCCGAAATTGAATTTTCATATTGCACCGTCGATTTACATAAATTTTAAGTGCTACAAGTTAATTTCGATTATTTTAAGCGAATAAAACGTGTTGAAAAACGTTTGGATATAAATAAAATATATGTTTTACAAAACGTCCAAATATTGTATATTATATAATATAAAATTCCCTTTCACCAAATTACTATATAAAAAGGCTTTGATTTTTTATTCCCATAAATACAGGCAACCTTATTCCTGGCATGATTCGCGTTACATTGCATAATTCTTTAGAATGAAGGATTTTATTCCGCTTTGGCGACTTCTTAGCACAGGAACACATTAGGCACAAGGTTTTTCTACTTAGTTTTAATTAATGTTTGTGGAGTAACATTCCCTTCTTTCCTATAAGCAACCTTTGTGGGATATAAATAGTTTTATTTTTAGAATAATTTAAAAATCATCAAAAGGGTAAGAGAGAAAAGTAGAGAAAATTCGATTGTATAATAAATACAGCTATAAATGATTATGACATTGGTAAACAATCCGGTTCTAATGTCAGTTGAATATTTTAATCATTTAAAAACTGATTGAATTAAATTTCTCAAATTGATATACGAACTAAAATCAATTATCACAGTCCAAAGTTTGACAATTCAAGGGTGCTTCGAAGTCCGCGACGCTGGGAGGAAATTCTTCATTGTATTAACAAAATATATCACAGAGCCAAACTAAAATGCAACGCTCATTTTGCCAGTAATAAGGTTTATTTCGAAGGGGGTTCTAGCTAGAAGAAACAGTGGAAGTACTACAAAACAGCTACGAAAATACTTTCTTTTTGCATTAAGTAATTCAAGTTTTCATTCCGTTTCACAGCCAATCTGTTGTTTAAAACAACTGGATTTTTTAATTTGTTAGAGATCAAATATTTATATTAATTTTCCTTAATACTTAGATAATTTTTGAGATCAACGATTCATCATGAATTTATTCGATTTTTTTTAAATTAAAGGATGTTCGATAAATTTATCCACGGCTTGAAGATATTTTTCTGAATTTTCGTTGAAATAGAAATGTGCAATAATAGTTATATTCAACATTTATGAATCTATTTATGAAAGTAAATAGAAAGAATAAAAAATTATTCATATTTCTATTTCAACGCGAATTCTAGAAAAAGATCTCACTAGCTTCTTCATCAAATGATAATTTAAAACTTTTGAATAATATTTAGTAAACACCCTGTGAAAATCAGTCGTTTATCCGTTTCCTTTTAGTAACATCACATTTAATTTTATTTTTTTTGGTTCCGAATTAATAATATTTTATAATATTTATAATATTTAAAAAATTTTCAGTCTCATACATAAATAAATTTTTAAGTCATAAAAACTCATATTGTCAATTTCCTACGATACCGTTAGTATCTCCACTGTTTCTACACTTATGTTTACACCGAGATTACACAATAACTCAATAATAAATAAATTAGCGAATTCATGCCGAATAAACACAGAATATTTTTTAAACATACAAAATTTTTTTGGATAAATTGCATATAGAGTTAAAGTGTAACCTCTTTTAGTCGACTGCTTGACAATAATCGCCTAGACGGATAATTAACAATCAATTGCTTCAATTGGAAATCTTTACAAATCCAAAAAATATATCTTAAGATTATTTAAGATTACGATTAGTCTATAAAAATTTAGCTCGGCGTCTTAAGATATGTTTCTCGGAACGTGTCTATTGTCTAGTCTCAAGAAAATTTTAAATGCAAGATCATAGCGGGGGCTTAACAGGCTGATTGTGAGAGGAGGAGTTCGCATGATCTTTCTGTCTCCTGTGATAGATGCTTCTGTGGTTATTCAGCGAGTTCAGCGTGCGAAAAACTTTCCGGCATAGGCCACAGACGGCGCTGTTCAGCGGCTGCAGGTGCTGCTGCTCCTTGTGCCTCTTCAACGTCAGCTTCGTGCTGAGCAGCTTGCCGCACACGTCGCACCGGTGGGTCGCATTCAAAGGCAACGGAAAGTTCGGACGACGGTCTGCTGTTGCACCCCGAACGCACCGAGAACAGAGACAACATTCCTATTAGGCCCCCGCTTTTTGCCAGTGTTTTATTTTTGTTTGTATAGTTTAATGATTTTTCGAGGTTTCGGATTTTGGTCTAGTAGGCTCGCCTAGTTGATGGTCCGACTAAATAAGTACGCACTTAAATTTTGCTATGTCTTCTTACACTAAATCAGAGAGGTTATCTACAAGGGTTTTCCTACAAAAAATTGTGTTTTCTTCAAAATATTTGTACTTGGAAAAGTGAAGATTCTCTGATGATTGTCGGTCGTCATAAGGATGGATCTCCAACTATCACTAACAGATTTTTGCCAATTTCTATTGAAATTTCATCAATTTCGTAATCATTCAATTTTGCTACTTGTTGCAGTGACATGGTGTTTGATGTTTCTATTTTTCTCCAGTTGTCTCATTATTTCCATGTGTATATTTGGTAGCCTTATAATTTCTAGTCTCCGATGTTTATATGCCACAATTTGTCTCAGTTCTTCTTCAATTCAGTCCGTCAGATTTTGAAATATCAATTCTTAATAATTCATGAATATTCTCCCATCATCATCATTTTTGTAGGAAACAATTGTAGTGGCAAAAAGCTAGATTAGTGTTAAATTTTCTTATGGTCAGACCACCAATAAACTGCAGCCTTTTTCATATAATTTTGTAGTAAGTCAAGCTAGTCTCATTATGTAATCCATTTTATAAAATATAGTTGTAGATATAGGAAAATTTATAGATTATTATAATAGCTCCCTCTTTTTTTATGATTTTTTTCCAATGTAAACAGATAAATTAAATTAAAAACGTGGAAAGGTCGTTGTGTAAATTTCAATTTATCTCCTTACATTTCGCTATAATTTTATGTCACCTACCATTTAATTATTGTATATTTTGTATATAGATTTCCAAGCAATTTGTACAATAAGCTTATTATATTATGTATAAATAGACACAATATGTGGCTACAGAATATATATCTATCTGGAAAATGGACAAGATCCTCAAAAACATATATATTTTATGAATGCATCAAAAAAACAGAGATCAGTCTTACGGACTCTCCAAAAAACTATTAACAGATCGCCACTTTATTAAGTCGCTGTTGAAGTTTGTTTTAAATATTGAAAATTTAGAAATTAGTAATCAGTACAATCACTTATTCATCAGCACAATAAAATTATGTATGTGCAAACAGTTAAATACCTTAAAATAATTATAACATAAACCTTACAACAAAACTAACCTTAGCAAATAAAGATTTTTAGGCAAAACTCCCGCAAATCTTATTTACGACAAGAAATAAAAATTATAAAACAAATCAAAATAATTTCCGTCCTGTCCATTTTTCAGTCGTAATTTCTTCGATAAACATATATTAAAAACAATAACAACTTATTTATTATGGAATAAATAAAAATAAAAAATTTGGAACATATTATTTTGTACGTGTATTTCGCGGCAATCCGACGATAATATTTCAATTTAAATTAATTAGATACTATTAAAGATTATTTTTTTTTGTAATTTTCAATAATTCAATAATAAGTAGGGTAGGGCGGGGCTAGTTGAGCATACGGGTAAGTTGTGCAATCGAAATATCTCGCAAACTATTCACCGTACGCATAAACATCTTATGGCGGAAACAAGGGGTCGGGGGAGACCTAATCACAGAGCTATTGCAAGTGGCGCCTCGACAAGCGAGTAAAGCCCCCGTGCGTTTTGTTTTTTTTGTGACCAAAAAGTAAAAACGTCGTCTATCGCAAGTTTTCGTCTGTATTAGTCAAATATTATCCGTTTTCAATGAGGTAAGGGTTAATATTCCAGAAAATTATTGTACTTTTGATGTAGAGATGTTCTGGTTATAATTCTTACGATTTCTTTATGACCTCACTTTTATTTTAAAATTTCGGGTTGGGGTTAGTTGAGCAACTACTGCGAAATTTACCAGGAGAAAGTTGGATTCACTGCCAAGCTTGCAGGGAATGGGCACAAACAAAATGTCTTCCAGGTGCTATGGTCTTACTTTCATTTGTGTTAATTGCAACAGTAACAACGACCAAAACTTGCTAATATATTATTATATTCTTTTAAGCTATTTAATTCTGATTTTAAACAGAAAGCCCGAAAATTACTTTAAGTTTTGTTGTTCTGTCACTAAATAACAATAAATAAAGAGATGGTTATAAAAATAAACATATCCTATATATAAACATACCGTTGCTCAACTTACCTCACCTATGGGGTACATTGAGCATACTTGACTTTCTGCATTTAAACAGCTGTAGCTCTTAAATTCAACTAGTTACAAAAAAGTTACTATGGGCACTTTTGTTAAGGGAGAAATTACTAATCCATCAAGCCACATAACAAGTCATTCACACATATCATTGATGAGCTATATCCGCTAAAGTGAAAAGTTGCTCAACTAGCCCCGCCCTACCCTATAACTAACTTCGCTATACGTAAATAAATTGAATACACCATAATTCGATCAATAATGATTTTAATATTATAAAAACAACAAATTGGATTATTATCGGTGTCGATTGCCGCTTTAACGAAAAAAATAGAATTTGGTCCTTCAAGAAATGAACATATTTTCAACAAAAAAATTATTATATCTTAAGAAATACCACCGGCCCTATCATATTCCCTTTTCAACAAAGCGCTCCACAATAAATCGAAACTCAAAGATAAAACGGATGCGGCGAAATCATCTCTTCTGCCTTTACGTTCTTAACGTTTCTATGGTAAATGCTCTTATGGTTCCTTAACGAATTAAGGCTGCTGTACACCCTCTTGCATATGTTGCAGACTGGTTCCCTGGACGGTCGCATATGAACGTTCTGTATATGTCTCTTGAGTCTCGTTAGGGAGCTCAGGCTTTTGTTGCATGGTTGGCATCGATAATCTTCCAAACCTGAGTGCAGAAGAAGCCTATTAGCCTCTCTCGGCCGCTTCTCTTTTGTAATTTGTTTTTGGTAAAAGATATTTACACGCGGATCGTTCGATTTTCTCCTTTTGTCGGCGGACATTGTTCTTTTATATTTTACGAGAGATGCTAGAAGACTATGCAAGATGCGGACGAAACAACCGGGATGAATAAGAAGAAAGGCTGAGGGTTTTTGTAGAGCTATTGCTGAGTTATTTGTAACTTATAACACGATGTATTGAGCTAGTAGTTAAATGGTCATGGTCGCATTTGATCCAAAAATGTCTTGAAATCACAATATTATCACACGTGTTTATTATCGAATAACTTCGAAGTAAAATGAATGCCACAATCTCCCTACAATATCCACAAGGACCGATACATTATTGAAAATCGAAAATTTTCCCCAATGTTATTACGTTTAGCGTGGAATTTTGAAATCTCTCGTGAAATATGAAAGCAGCAAGTTCATATTATTGAATTTTGATCGATTTGAATCATATTTAGCAATTTAATTATCAGTATCTTCATGAATTTAAGCGTACCTACATTGTTAGATTGAGATTATTATCAGATTTCAGACAAGATATAAGAGTGGAGTAGTAAGAAAAAAACTGTTTTTGATATTTTGTTATTCAATTTTATATATTAGGAAAAAGTAGTGGTAACGAAACTAAAGAAGGAAGCATAGAGAAGCCTAAAGAGAAGTTTCCATCCAATAAATGTCACAAGACTCGCCCAACCCTATTATGTATACAACCCACCAAAACTTTGCCTAAGAAGCAAGCTCACTCATCACAAGTTCCCACCCCGTCTTCTGCCACGATTTACTTTAACATTTTTAGTTATTAGCGATCATTCCGCGGATTGCACCGCCGCCCGCCTTTTCTGATGGTAGTTGCACGTGTGCACCACCAGACTGTTCTTGGTCCTGTAGGTTCGGTTGCAAATTTTGCACCAGAACTGCTCGGTTTGCGCGTAATGCAGATCCCTAACGTGCCTCCTCAGGGTGACGCGGTTGCGTAAAATTTTACCGCAGATTTCGCACTCCCGACCTGCGTATAGAGAAAATGAAATCCGATTAGTTGACTGTTGATTGGCTTTTTTTTTTTAGATAGAAGATGAAAGTAAAAAATAAGAAGCTTCTGGATGGAAACAGTCAACTAAAATTTATTTTCTCTATATGCGCATATAGCTGGTGGTTTGAGGAGATTCGTGAGGTAGCGAAAATAATAGTAAATAGTGAAAGTTGCTAAATATGATTAAATTGTATCTAGTAGAACTTCGATTAGAGAAGTAGAGAGAGAGACTAATTATTTGATACGATATGGGCCGTCTTTCTCACCCGATCTGTGTGTTCCTCTTGGACGTGTCTCATTCGATTTATCCGCTTTTTAGTTTGCGATCAATCTAATCGATTATTCAAGTCGAACTAGCCGGAAATTTGTTGTTAAATACATCGATAACGCGCGCTCCTTTGGCGAGAAATTTGAATACAAGATCAACTACTCAACTAATTTTTCTTCAAGTATTAATGTTTAATAAGTACTGTAAGATCTCCAGATCAGTATGCCAATTTTGATTTGGTAAAGACTGGATGTTGTTGTGAATTTCGTGGGAGTTGATCTTGTATTTAAAATATCTCTTTTACAAAAATTTAGAAATCCTATTGATTTACAATTTTTTTACAGGTAAGTTATTATTGAAAATTTAAAATCGTTGAATTGAATTTTAATAAAGTTTCGTCCTTATTACGGATGGCTTCCCCAAATATGTGTGTCAAAAAGAAAAAGAAAAATCAACACAAAACAGACCAGGGACAAGATAAACAAAAACACACAGTATAAAACACATTCCGGACGATCGAGAAAGGTTTTTTCATTAAATTTTAGCAAACTTGAGCAATTGCAACTTCTGATTTTTATCAAATTTTACTCGTTATTCATCGATCGCTGAAAAAACCCCTCGATAAATCGATAGACAAAACGATACAGATATCGATTGCTCGAAACGACATCTATAGAAGAGAATAGTTTACAAAAATAAAAAAAAATATATGTGTAAAATATACGTCACGTCACCTTAACTGACACACTACAAATGCACATTCAGTTAAGACAACTACATACATAGAGAAGGGTAAAACGTTAGAAATCTGTATGGCTTACCTTGTGAAGTCCCTGCCAGACTGTCGTTTCCCTGTAATGATTGGTTTAACCCTAAAAAAAGAAAAAGAATTTATGTAGATTCACAGAACAATGTACTAAATATCTTAGGATAAATTGCATCAACTTGGTCTAATATGAGATTTGAAGTGAAACTAGTTTCCAAAAAACTCCAGGCTTAACACTATGAAACCAGTGCAGATACAACCCACCACTACGCAAGAATTTTCAATTCTGTGTCCAAACTTAAGACATATTAAAAGCATTGCATAGTTACCTCCGAGCACTGAAGGATCCCCGGCAAGGGCGGCCATACTAAAATTAAAACTTCCCGCCGCCGTCGCGAACAATTTGCTCTCCGTCGGCGTCAAATAAGGGCTGATAGCACTGTCGTGGTCATCATGGTCACCGCCGCCTCCCGAACTGAAAGAAAAACTCAATTAAAACGATATAAAACAATCATGCAACTATCTGCAGTGGGTACCACACCACTTTCTCCTGAAGCCAGGATACTTCAATATCGTACAATATAAGAAGAAAAATGGGGTATAAGTACCTTCCTCCGGAATGCGGCCCGCCCTGTCCCGGCCCGGCGCCGTTGTCGTTGGTGATGTCCGCGGAATCGTTGCTGTTGTCGTCCTGGTTCGTCGAGCAGAGCAGTTCCATGGGTTCGTTTTTAATGTTATTGTTGTCGTTGTCGTTGTTGTTGCACCGGGAATGGACGAGCGTGGGCGAAGGCGAACAAGGGGATGCTTCTCTATCCGTACTGCTGATCCCATTCCCTGCGAAAAGAACATTGAGGTGAGGATGCTGCGGGTAATCGCGGTTGGGTGGTGTTCTTTTACCTTCTATTTCGTTTTTTGTCGAATTTAAATTCAAATTGAGCACGTTATTCTTCATGGCGCTGGGCGAGAAATCGGCGGGTTGCGTTTGCGGTGGAGGATGCGTCGTCGATAAATTCAATTCGCTGTTATTGTTGTTGTTGTTATTGCTGATTATGTGGTCAGCTCTTGCTCTTTTATGCTCGTTTTCTGGATCCGATGATATCCTCCTTTCTCGCCTACGAAAACGAATTTGTTAGAATTTTTATTATTTTATTTCAAGTTAAAAGCGTACCTGTATTGTAAGGCCGCCGCTCGCCTCAGTAGCTGATTCACGGTGGCCCCGTGGGGTGGTGAGGATGGAGAGGTAAATAAACTATCTTCTACTAGCTTATCAGTAAAGGTCGGGTGATGGTTTGATAAGGGGGTTGATTGTTGTTGCGATCTGACCATACTTTGTACTTGTGCCAACTGAAAATTAAAAATACATTCGTTATAAGACTACTACAAGCAACATGATTTGGCAATCTTAATAACCTCTTGGGTTATTAAGGATAACTTGGAGCTTTTGGGGAGGGTTGGAATAACGCACCTGATCTCGGCCGTCGCCGTGCTGCTGCGTGAGGCCGCTAACCCTGAGAACTTCGGCCGTTTTAAGGAACGACGATAGGGAGCGCTGGTGCACGTTGACTTCTCCATGGTAGATGAATTCCACCAAGGCGTGCAGATCCGTCCAGGCGACATCTTGGAGAACTATCACAGGGTGTTTGCAGGGGGTGCTCTGAAATCGAAGGATTACAAATTATATGATGCTGGTCATAAGTAAGCAAACTTATAGAGATTTAATTTTATAACAAAATATTTTCTTGGCAAAACTAATATGATCATCGCAAATGAATTATTACATTGACGTGTACTTAAAGATTTACATATGTTTTCATCTAGCCCGAGACGTGTTATTTTAAAAAAAATTATAATCGTTATTAAACGATAATCATCCCATAGTTTCAATTCCAGGCTATGTATTCTATTTTTATAATATGAAAATAAAAATTATCTCATATAATGCAGCCTAGAAAATAATAATATTAAGCCGCCGTTTTTTCGATTTTGGTGTTAGATATCTACAATTATCGATGGAAAATTCGTTTATCCAAGGCGATTGGAACACCAATCGATATATTCGGTGCTAAATTTAAACGTTGCAATCCATCTAGGCTATTTGTTTATTTCCTGTGTAATAAAATTGACCGCAATTTAAAATAAATTAATGCGAATTTATTTTTAATTTTGAGATTTTTTTTTCTTAGATGAATAGGCTTGTTTTCCGGCTAATTTAGTGTTGGATTGGAGGCACCAAATATTCACATTTTTCTTAAGAAAGTACCTACTTCCAAAATACAGTCATTACGTCATGTTAGATAGCTAATAATCAACAAAAAAACCACGTCAAAATGCAAATAAGACTGGAAATTCCAAAATTTCTAATACTTATAGGATGACATAATTGAGGTTTGATAAAAATTTAACACTTCCACGAAAAATTCTTATAAATATCAAAGTGATTCAGTTAAAATTGAAACGGTTCATTGTTTCAAATTTCCGGTTAAAACTATTTTCCCGCATTCGACATCTTTAAGCTATACGCAAACTTTACTTATCAAATTAATGTGAGCTAATAATGAAATTAAATGTACTTAAGCTCGCATTATAATATATTTAGATCATCATTCATGACTACCGGTTAGAAATTTTTAAACAATAGTTTCTAAATTAAAGAACAATTAACATATTCTAGGGAAAGAGATTTTCTGTAACAACTTTTCTATAATAGAATTAGATTAACATATTAAAAAAGTCCACTCTTTATATTTAGAAACATTTGCAATCTACCAATCGACAGTGCCGAAAGATATTCCTAGAAGCTTACTAAGCTCTATTCGCCGAAAATTCACTATCAAATTTGTCCAAAACCGTCGTTAGTTACACTATCACAAATTAATTTAGAAATTGTTGATAAAAAAAAATCGAGCCATCATCATAAATTGATAAGTTGGGCTACATTTGGAACATATTTTTTTTCGCTCGTAAACAGATAAGGCTTCAATTTACAGCATTTACATACGATGTTAATTTGGAATAACATGGCTTAGGTTAGTGTTTAATTTCAAGCGTTTTCGGCGCAGTTGCATACAAAACTTTCGGCGCGACCGCCTCGCCTAAAATCGGACAAAGCCGCAAATTTTCCGTCAGCGTATGAATGAAAAATTCCATCGGTAGGCAATCGAAATTTGAATCTTATTAATAATATGTCTGGAAATTCCAACCTGCACGAACCAACCTCAATGACTCAATGAGTAAATACAGATACGTCAAGTAGGATTTCAGTGGCAGAGGTTCGTGGAAAGCCTCGAAAACGGAACAAAATTAGAGCAAACATTAGAGCAAAAAACCAGTTACTCAATTCCTGAAGTGCCCAAAGAAAGAAGGCTCATGAATAAATTGTTACACAAAAAACTTCTGAGGATTACTTCCTAGTAAAGTATCATTGAGTATATCATTGAGAACATTACTGAATATTTAGAGGTTTCGTACACAATACATAAGTATCAAATAATTATGTATTGGAAAAATGCATGTACCCTTTATACTAAACAATATGAACATTGCTACTCGCAAAAAAATAAATATTCTAATTGCGGTTGTGTATTGTCTGGCATAAAACGTTGAACTCATAAAAGGTATGTGTATTTTGCACAAGATGAGTCAACAAGGTCAGCTAGAATTTGTTATTTTCTTTCTTTTTTTGCATTATTTGCTAAACAACAAAATAATAGCCGCTAGTAGTAGGCTATTGTTAATTAATTTTCGTAAATAAAAAACAAGTGTCATGAATGAATCGGTTTTTGTGACGATTAGAAATATCGAATTGTATTATATCCTCTAATTTTCCAGTGTAAATAAATACAGGATGTTTAATAAGCCTAATCCAAGTTTTTTTATTTGTGAAGATAGAAAATATCATACATGAAATAGACGCGATTTTTATGGTTCCGTAAATAGGAATGTAAATTTTAATAAAGTCGTAAATTTGTAATTAAAGTTAATGATATCTACATAAAATATCTGTTCGAGAAATCAAATGTGATCTATTTAAACAACTTAAACTTCCAATGCGTAATTATGTATTTTAAAAATAATGTTTAAACTTTATTGATTTAATTTAAAGGAAATTCATTTTAGAAAAAGGTTAAAAATACAAATACAAATAAATTGAATACGAAAGAGTTATTTAATGCAACTTCCATTCATTTATTAATTTAATTTATGATTACTGGTTTCATAGCAGATTTCATTACAGCTCATACAATACTTTTCCTCTCAGCAAATCATTGCACCCAAAAACCCGAAACTGTTTATTATATTTCAAGAACACAAATAAAGAGTGTTTTGGCTATTAGCTTTACCAAAAAAAAAATTATTTTATTACAATGCTACAAATTAAAGTAAACAAAAAATATTTTTGCGATAAACCATCGTTATTTTTTTGACGAAATATAGAGGTTGATGACGTCCTTATTATTCGGAAAAATGTTAAAATGTTAGGATAGATTCCGCTTAATGAATGCATTGTTGACCTTGTGTTTTCTTTCCTAATTATTTGTTTGTTGCGTTATTTTCGTCTGCTAGTGTCGATTACCTCTCTCGCGTTCGAGGGCAAACGCGATATGTGTTATGGGGATTTACTGCATTTTTATTTATAAGCCAAAATATTTTTCACAATTTCTCTAGCTAAAAACACCAATGAATACCTACATAAATTAGTTGTGTAATTAGAGGAAAAATTCTCAGGTATAACGAACTCCTCAGCTCCAATTTCGAAAAATGAATTTATTATAATTATTTTAAAAATAAACATTTTATATGCATAAAATTATTTTCTTTTCCGTATTTACATAGAATTATTGCAAGTAGTATATGAAACCAACCTCTCTCTCATTAAACACTCTTTTTTCCATGCAAATGTGTACCTAAGTACTTGCGATAAATAGGCAGAAAGGTAACGAGCAATTGAATGACAAACTCAAAAACAATGCCACAATAAATTTAGATTAATTAAGGTGGATAATAAACTAGGAAATGGATGAATTATTTACTAGTGGGACGCGGTGTATATTAATTTCATTTTTATTGTTATGAGACATACATACATGCTTTTTTAGATAAGTTTTAATCGACTAACATCTAATAAAGTAAGCGAATTTTAATCAAATTTAATTTATTGGACTATTGTTTTTATATATTTTTAATTAAAACTAACTATTAAATGATTTTTATTACGCAAATCTATTCATGTGTAGAATTAGAAAACATTAATATTTTCCAATAAAAATTATGACAATAAAAAAGCCATAGGCAGAGGAATATGTATTGTAATACATTTTTATTTTATTGAAAACAAAATTAAAAATATCGCGTAATATTTAAATTCCGGGGGTATAAAATATTTTTTATTGTTAAGAAATTGTGTTTTAAATTTAAATTAATCCGCTATAACTTTTCCATCCAGCTCCGTATTTTCAATTTATTCAATTATATTATATAAAAATTATATATTTAAATATTTTTTTAGGGTAAGCATAACGTTTCTTATGCCACCCTAAATATTTAACGTAACAGTAAATATACATTTTGTAACTATTAAAAAATATACCTGTTTAATTAAATAACCCAATTTCTTATCTTTTATCATTATTATCATATACCGAAATTTGGCAAAATTACATAAGGGTTAGTACACGATTACTCCTCATAAAACATCTCAATATACGGTCAAAAGAAGTAACAAGGTATAAATAATTAGGTGCAAACATGCAATAATGGAGATGTGGCCTTACCTTGAGCAATTCCCTAAAATACGGACTGCAAGCCGACAGAACAACTCTGTGAGCCTTCAGGCTCCTGCCGTCACACGCCAAAGTGACGTCCACGAAATCCTCGTCATCGCGGAGGTTCTCGAAGGCCGATGTTATGCTGCTTTGATAATTGTTCCAACGCAGACAGAAATGTTGTGTATCTACCATCGTAAAAAGTATTCACCTACAACAACAAAGAACACATCAAATATGCTGTTAGCAATTCGAGAGTCAACCTAGCGAGATGATGACTACGGTAGGCATAGGTGTTATTCAATATTTTATTGTCGATATTAATCAGTGGTCATACGTTTGATTGTTTGATGTACTGATGTTGCATTTCTAGGCGAGTCATAACCGGGTCAAAAATGACTCCATCGCTGAGACCTAGATAAAGACGCGATGAATTTTCATCAAAAGGATGAGTATTGGTACAATATAGGATAACTCAACAGGACCAGCCAGCTTGTTTGAAGATAATACTGGTTCAATTCAAAGAGTCCTGTGTTCCTAAGAATAAGGACTACAGGAATATTGGTACCAAATACTTGAGCCTAGATCTGTGACACCTATGAATATACTTGATTCAGCTCAAAGAATCTTTGAATAGGTACTTCGAAAAAATTATTTTTTGCACACGAGAAGGTTCATATTCGCGAAATTCGAATTATCTTCAATATTATATCATCTCTGTAATAAAATTGGTCTTATACAAATTGATGAATTATCGGAGATAATAAAAAAAATAATAATAAATGCTAAATTTTGACTTATCTACAATATCTCAATAATAAAGTGGAAGTGGGAGTAATTGATTATTAGATAGGTATAACTAATTTATATAAAATTAATTAATAAAGCACAAAAAGGTTTTTGTACCTACTTGATGCATGATGCTAATTTTTAATACTTTTTTTAATACATTTTTAATACAAAATTAGAAATTTTAAAAAACTACTACCTCCTGTAGACATATCATTCATGCAATGCTGCATTTTTGCAGAAAACCCAACTGATCATCGTAAAAACACCTTAAAATAGAGCATAGTTGTAACAGAAATACGTTTTTCACCGCCGTTATTGGAACTGTATTAGCTCAAAGGCAATTTTACCCGTCTACCTCCCGTTGCTCTTCGACTTAAAAATACAATTACGCCTCGCAGAATCAACCCTTCACTACCGAGGGGGTTGAAACTGCACCGACTTCACGACAACCCGGTATGACATTGAGCAATTTCGAAAGTACATTATATGTAGGGGAGAAGCGATGAACGAAAATTTATATTATTACGCGATCGTTAGATTCCGACACAGCCTTATTATGAATAAAGATTAATCTAGAATATTACAGGCAATGAAAAGTACAGGTGTAATTATCATTTATAATTAAACAAGTTTATTTATTTAAATAATTAGGTTTTTTCTACGTATTTTAATATGGCTATTAAAGGGGTAAAAATAGTTGTTTGTACAGGGGGATACGAAACAAGTTTTAAGGGATGACAACATTTAATTTGTGTGATTTTTTAAATTTGTTTTAATTCAAGATTGAATTGTATTTTTGCTATTATAGATATTTTTAACAAATTAAAAGTGCATTTTAATTGCAAAATACGACTTTCGTTTAATGTTACAAAAAATGTGTAGAAATTGCATTAATAGTCAATAGATAAAATAATGGTTATTTTAATTCTGATTTGCAATTAAAATGCTTCGATGGCATTATTGATTTGGGTATTTACTAATTGCTTAATTTATAAAATTAAATGTATTATAAGTACAAGAATATCAAGGAATTCATCCTTTGTAGAATCTACATATTTATATTTTTTCAAATATGTACAGAGTGGTAGAAAAAAAGTTGCCTGACTTCTGTCATAACATTTTGAATTTTTTACCTAAAAAAATGTAATATAATTTTCAAAATGCTAAATTAATGCCATTGGATACTAAACATTGGTTGTTGATATTTTATAAAAAATATACTGCTTAGATAAAAATTTTTGTTTTTCAATTTGTTAGATAAAATTTCGTAGATTTATAAGTAAGGACAAATAGAAAAAAATATGTTATACTCACTTATTCAAATATGCTCTATTTGTTTATCGAAAAAAATCTTCAACTATCGTTTGAACTATTCCCTAATCAAATTAAAAACTAGATATCACGGCAATTTACACAAAATCCGAAACTAGTGTATACAAAAAATTATCTCGGCCCAAATTGGGTTACGCAAATAATCTAATTTCGATACGAACATCCGATTTAGAGGTTATATTAATCTATTTCGCGAAATTAGCAACAAAACTAATCTGTTTCTAGACTAAATTCGGCATAAATAAGCAAAACAACTTACGTCAAACATGGTAAATAGCCGAAAAAAATGACAAACCACATCGCCACCTCTCCTATTATTTACGTTTTTTTATTTTTCCACGCGAAATCGATGCGAAAAAAATACATTTTCGTCGTCGCGACGCCGGACGGCCTCGATATAGTGGTTTCCTAGGAAAAGGAAAACGGGGGATAGATAGAGCTAGGAATGTAGGTATATAAAAAATTCGATCGGCAGCGCGTGGATAAGTGGGGAGAGGATTGAAACACGGCCATCGTGAGCACGAGAGGAAAAAAAATATATATAGGAAATCGCAAGTATCGTAACGGAACGCCAAACGAAAGGGAAAGTGCCAGACGGCTGCGACTAGACCAGTCTAGGCGGTCATGGACGCGTTTGTTTTGTTTAAAACATAGTCGCCATAGAAACCGGCACACAAATCCGTTCTAATCATGCCAAAGCGAATTTTCACGAAGTGCAGGTGGACGTACACCGATGGATTCGATGTCGCCGAATTCGAAAATCGCAATTTCGTAACGGAACAAATTCGTTTTTATTGTTTAATTCGAATTTTTTCGACAGCTTCCAATCAAATTGTTATGGAAATTTAGCTGAGTTGTTAACGCGTTTACTCGCGCAGGTATATTTATTTAAATATTTTTTATAAGATAAATAGTAAGTAATAAGAAAATTAATTTACCTTAAAGAAATAGTCATCGAAACGTTTGCGTTTTCTGCACAAAATCCATTCGTTAAGTTAATAACATCGTATTTTCGTCTAACGGTGGTCGCGCGTTAGAAAAATTCACTTTGTTTTAAAGGCACAATAAAAAAAAAGTCGCGGCAAATTCGAAACTGTTTCAACTCAAACTGAGAAAAAAATAAAACTGTTTATCTAGCGGTGATTTGTTGAATGGTCAAAACGCACTTTAATAAGTATTTTGAATAATAGTGTAAGTATAGTAATCGAGTAGGTATCAAGTTGGCACCCGACCGCCAGTGCACATCACGAGCGAATATTAAAAATTGAAGCGCGCAAAAAATGAAGAGCCGAGGACCGCTTATTCTTTATTGGGACATGGCTATGAGACATCTGCTGTAATAAGCTAGCACTAAAAAATAGTGCGTGTGCTCGCCGCCACCCTCCCGCCTCTCGGTTCGAATGAAAATGCGCAGAATAACGAGTCGGTACAGGCCCGCAATTAAAAATATCAAAATAAAAAAATCGAACACTAAATCTGTGCTCTACTGCGAACTGCGACTACTGCCGGCAAGTGGGCTATGCTTCGCCACGGCTGCGGGGCTGTTTCGCTCGCTTTTTTCGCCCGCTTTTCTTTATTTCGTATTTCGCAGCCGGACTTTGTCGCGGCGACATGTCGCTCGTCGCCCGTCGACGGCGCTCGTCCAAGCTCTTTTGCCGAGCACCACTTTCCGTGATGTGCGTCGAGATAATTGAAGGGTTCCTGCTATTTCCGCAGCTACTAACCTACGATATCCTACACTTATAGTTGTTTACTAATAGCTTAATATATTCCACGTTTGCGTGCGAATTTGGTTGGGTTTAGATACGAGGTAATTTCCTTTGGAAACGAAAATTGGGCATGAACTCTGCATCACGCACTTCCTTATTATTTAATCTTTTTATGTTTTTTTACAATTTCGTATTGATGCTATCCAATTGAATTGATATTTATTAAATGTGTGAAATGTAATGACGTGGCGTGTAATGACAGATATTGGCAAAAAAAATTAAAAGTATATTCAGAAGAAAACTTTCCTCATGCTCACTGACTATTAAAATTGTTATAATACGCCAAAATTTCGAATACTCTCAAAAATACAACCCCAAATCTAATTGCTAAATTTAATTGCAAAATTCTAAATATGTAGAATGTGATTTTTAGTAAATTTTATTTCCTGCAGGTCCAGCACTTCCTTGTTTTGGCGTTTACAACGATAAATAACATAAAATATTCAAAAAAATATTTGTTATTTAATTGGTTTATTGTTTAAAAATAATTGAATACCTTGGTTACCATCAAAACACTTTTCCAATCAAAATTACAGAAACTCCCTATTTCCTGCATATTTTGCAGTGATCATAAATACTAATAAATCAAAGACAATAACTGTCAAATACACCTATTAAATTGATTTTAACCAAAGTTTAATTAACAATCAAATAATTCCGAACAAAAAAATATTTCCATATAGTCAAATTTTAAACTAATACCTAATTAAAGTTTGATTCAACTTTCCATGAATCTTTCATAAAGATAATTAGCCTATCAGTAAGTTACAGGTAGAATAACCGTTCGAAATTGATTCATTTTATCATAAATGCACTATTTTATCTCTATAATTACATTTCTATTTTTTTACATACCGTTTGAACATTTATCTACAGCTGAACTTTCGGAAACAAAAAAAATTGAGCAGTTATCAGATACGAACCAGCACAAAAAAATCACTAAGCCTGATAGTTTCGAATTATAAAAAAAAATACCGAGGTCGACTTAGTGATTAGATTAGATTCTAATCTAAACGCAGTTATCTCCGTCATTAGTTTAGTAGGTACACCATATTTTTTTAAATTATCTCCACAAACTAAATAGCGAATGATAACTAATATATTAATATATTTTTTTATCTTGTCACGCAGTTCACAGTTCAGTATGTTTGAAGTGTACAGGGCGATTTGCATTATCGAGTTTTTGCATTAGCGATATTATAGAGATTTCGATTAAAATTCGATGGAAAGGTTTCTTGCAAAGCTTGAAGCATCTAATAAAGCTTCAGTTGGTCAAATTTGCAACAAGAATTTTGTTAGTTGAGTAATAATTAACATTAAAACATATTTAAATTGGTACTGAGATAAGGGAGTAAAATTTGAAGTAAGAATTAGATTTTTATAGATATTTTTCTTATCTATAAATGAAGTTTTCGATGAATTATTGTGTATTTAAAAGTATATTTTTTATCACTATACCAATAGGCTTTTTTTTAGATTTTTGAAGCACTTAAACGTTGATTTTTTTATTATCAGATGTATAGTCGTATATTGTATATCATATCAGTCACATGAATATTGTTGACCTAAGCTAGTAATATATTTTTTTATAAATGGTACACTTTAATAACGCGATAATCAGTATAAAGTATTAAAAAAATATTGTTGGGATTCAACGGTGATATAAAAACTAAAAAAAAATTCGAAATAATCCGCGAGTAAATTGAAATTCGTGCCTCGTGGCGGCTGTTCTCACCTTGTATTCCCGCAATAGTTTTATTTAAGCAACAAGTTCTCTTTGTATATGAAAACGTTATTTTTTACCTTTGTATATTTCTCAAAATGGGTATTGTATATTGGCGATTTTTAAATATATTTTATGGCATCAAACGATTTTTCCAGGGGATGCTGCAGCGATTTGCGTATGTTTACCGTATTTGCAGGCGTTTATACGAGAGTTGAAAATAATATATTGTTTTTCAATTGAGAGGGATGAAATAATAAAAAAGAGAAAGCTAGCTCCATCGATCGCGGGAATTTAAATATTTTTCCGCTGGTGGCGCCTCCCTTATAGTTGACGAGGGGTTGGCTATTTTTAATTGCCGACGCCTATGCTAATGAGGGCCCCCCTGGCGCCCTCCTCCCGCCGATTTACCCCCAAAAAATCATTACATTCTTCGCGGCCGGATGGCGAGGCAGCCGGCTTGCGCATGAACATTTTAATTCCATAGAATAAATATACAGTTGTGTGAATCAGCTATATTTTTCCCGTTTCGTTTTGCCTGGCCATATTTTATTGATTTTATAATCAATACCGCAATAAAACCTGCAATGTTTTCATCTTTATTTCCAGCATCCCTCCTCGGGCGTCCCGCGTTCCCACACCCCCCCGCGTTTCTAGGGATGCTATAGTTAGTTAGTTGTCTGTTTTATCGGTAGTGCCGTGTCTTACACGCGCTTTTTTACCCTCATTGCTGTTCCTATAGTCGGGGTTGATCAACCCTTCTATATACGGACGCTCTACTTCAAACTAATAATATTCAGTTCGGCATTATTTGAAATATTGCTGTTGAAATTATGGCGAAGTTCGTCGTTTTATACAAAATTATGGTGGATCAGCCCTTTTGTTTAAAAAAATTTATACACTTATTAATCGATAAAAAATAATAAATAATTAGTAGCAGTTGTATGATGGGATGCAAAAAAATACACAGAATGTTTTTTGTAATTGTTATGGTGGATTTTTAATAAGAAAGGATAAATAAATATTCTTTAGGGTTAAAATAGTAACTATTTCCAAATTTAAAACAATCTAAGGTACCTATGTGGAAGGTATTATTTTGGATCTTCTTTTGTCATTCTTTAGCCACTACCTAGAATGATATAATTTTTATCAAATCCTAAATATTCACTAAATTATTAATATAGCACATTTTGATTTATTGTTTAAAGAAAATTATATTATTTTACCTCCTCACCTAACTTTTTTTTTCGAAAACCAAAAATGTCATCTGCGAATGTTCTCGGTAAGAATGAGCACACTATTGAATAAGGGTAGTTATTGCTATACTTGTACATTTTTGGCGCTTGGAAAAAGCCGGGTAAACCATGATTGTGGTTGAAAAATGATGAAAAAAAAATATACGATTGAAGCGTCTTCACTATAACCGCGCTATTTTTGCGTCGCGTACATACCTGAAGTGCGACGCGGAGCCGGAGGGCGGCGAGGGGCGCGGGGGCGGCCGGGAGGGGGCGCAAACGAAAGGGATGGTGCGTTGCTAGGAAAGGAAAAATCTCCCGAAAGGGTTCAATAGGACTCCCCTACTTTTGCTCTAATTTTATACTTGTTTCGTTTCGTTTCGGCGAACGGGTAACGGGATATTGCAAATTGTTTCGCAGTTTTCCGTTGTCTGATGATCGAAGGCGGGGCCGCGCGAATTGAAAATTCCCTCGGTTTTCGGGCCCTTTTGACTTCACAACTTTCCGTACAACTTCTTTTTTTACTCTTGTACAGATGCTGGAGGCGGAGGATTTTTCGGATTTAATTTCCCGCGCGTTTTGTTTATTACACGAGCTACTAATCAATAATGGACGGGAAAAGGGAAATTACATCCACTTTCATTTTACCTTTACATACACGAATAATCCTTTATTTCTTTTTAATACCAATTTCATTATCCATCTTAACTACTATTCATATACCAATAGTAAAAATTACATGAATTATTTTATCTACAACAATCACCCTCTATTAATTATGTAGGTACGAATTTATAACATTCGCATTTCGTTCCCCATTGTTTTCCTGCAAATGTAACAGGCGTTTATTGCATGCAGCAGACGCAAATCGAAGAGGAAACCGTAGGAAAAGCCGGAAAAGCGAGCATACGATCTTACATGTGGGCCAGACGTGTTTTCTTTATCGGCATCCGCACCTTCCGCAGGCCCTTTGAAATGGTCTTCAACGGCGCGGAAAGAGGTCAGTGTTGTGTTCACCCTTGGCGAATTAGGGCAAGATTAACTTTGCGATCGTCTGGGGTTCGGTTTATGACCGGCTAATTAGCGATTATGTTCAATTGGAAATTAGGACGTGCGTCTGGTGTTTATTAACTGTAGCTCGATCAAATTTATTTTATCCCCTAACCTATATGATCGTTTTTATATCGAATTCGTTGTAGAAATAATTCATTACCTACTATGATAAAGTAAAGTACCGGAGGATTTGATCTTCTTTTTATTTTTCTAGTCAACCTTGCTTTTGGCAGTTGACATATCTAGCTTGTTTCAAAAATTTGAATCTAAGTATCGGTGTTTTAGAGTGAAATTTAATTAAAATGTCGCATGCACGCCCTGTTAAGCTGGTGGATGTAGTCAATAATTAACTTGCTGTAAAAGATAAAACCTTTGAAGTTTCACCTTCACTAAATGTAGTGAATTTTAAAATAGAAAATTGCAATACCGTTAATAAATTGCGCTAAAATCACGATGTATCAGCCCATGAAAGCTCCAATAGTTATTTGGCAACTGACAAGTGACAATATTCAAAACAACCTGACAGATGCTTATTTAGCACAGGTCGCTGAGATAAACCTGTATTCGACATTAAGGGCTATATCCTCAAGCTTT